CTATTGACATTTGTTAACGAAGAGTTGTTATCGCGCCGCGGGCCGTAATGCAATGAATGTTTAGCCCCTTCACACATACAGCCAGTGTTTATTGTGGCGTGTGTTCGTCCAAACCATGTCAACAGGATGTAGGTTGTCACTTTACTCAAGTTAAACATGACTTAACCTTCGGCTCACCAAGGTCTTCTAGTTATACAATCATCACATCAGACGAGATTGCGAAATGTAAAGAAGGCAACAATGACGACTGAAACATGTTGGTGAAATGTTGCCGACTCATTAAAAATATTTTTAATTTTCTTACAGGTGAGCCTGCGGTCAATCTTGCGCCAGGTAGAGATACCGTTAGTTTGGGGGATCTGTTTGTAGTGTGTTCGAAATACTATTATCATTAAGTTTTCAACATCACAGCGTGGTTCGTTGTTCATCAAAGATGTGAACGTCTACAAGGGCGGATCCAAGATATAAGAGAGGGGTGGGGAGCACATAATCACCACCCCCTCCCTCTGCATCCGCCCCTGGTCTGCCATCCTCATCAATGTCGTGCTTTTATGCCAGGATTTAAACACAGACACTTTACAAGGCAGCGTTACACCCAAGTCATTAAACAAACTAATGCATTCATTTCACCATCCTCTGAAGATATATTTTTTCCTTTTACGCTATCAAAAAATAACGTTTATGTAAACTCACGTATTTTCGTTTACTGTGCTCCTCTAGATGTTTCCTATTACAATGATAATTTATCGGCCCACCCATCAGTCGGGCGTGGTATAACAGTTAGAGTTGTACACGTCAGGGTTGGTTGCACACAGTCTTGTCAGTCGTCAAAGGCAGCTGTATACTACTTCCTTGACAACACAAGTACTGCATTTAATATCTATCTTTCAGAAAACCTAGTCCCAAAGATGTTATGTGTTGAAACATTAGATCGGTTTTCAAAGTTATTTTACATAGGTTTGTTCATAGCATCCACATGGATGTGAAATATGTGCCACATTAAAAATATACCTACCCAGTATATTATACTTCCCTGTCTTCTGAGGCATGTAATCCGAATGAGTGAGTGTAAATAATCGAGTCTGGACAAGACAATCCAGTGATCAACAGCAGGAGCATCGATCTGCGTAATTGGGATACGATGACATGTGTCCACCATATCAGCGAGCCTGACCACCCGATCTCTAGTCTGTCGTACAGACCCTGAAGCAAATATACCCAGAAAGCCCACACAAGTCTAGAAAATGTGGCAAGTCTAGATTTCCTCAGCTTCTGAAAATGAAGAAAGTCTCAGGGCTCCTTTTCGTTATATATTTTTTTTTTTACTATGAACTTTTTTCAGTAAAATATGTTCATTTCAGAGACTTGTTGTTAGTCTACCCGATCCCGTTAGTCTCCTCTTTCGACAAGGATGGGTGGGTTACTGAAAATCAATTCTAACCCGGATCTTCCGGGTCTATATTACATAGAACGTGTATATGTAAGATTAGTTCGGTGTTGTTTGGTTGTTGGGTTTTATTGCATGTAAGTATTGGGGGAAGGGGGGTATTTCGGGGGCGTTGGGTTGGGGATAGGAGGCTGATTTTTTGTTGTTTCACTACACAGGTATTCATCGAGCTATAGCAATGTGGCCTGCAAACAGACGAGTTGGGGATATTTGGAATTTTAATTCTAAAGTTTAGTTTTTAAATAAAATTTCGGTTCTTGAAATAATGTTTCTTATTAACATTCAGCATTCGGTTGTATTCGATGGACGGTACAAAGTGCAGCGTTATTTGCCCTTCTCCTACCCAGAGTACATACGATTAGGCTACATAGAACCTTCTTCACAGGCAAGCAAAATGTGACGAGTCGATGCAACAAATTACATGTGTTTTTCATTTATTTGCTATTCCTAAAAAGGCTACGATTTAAGATAAACCTATGTCATGATGTTTTTCTTTTTTATTGAGAAAATATTCTAAAACTTGAAAAATTGTTTCCGTTTATTTATTTATGTTTTTAAATGGTTGTATGGTTTTAAGTGTTAACATCGAAACCCGACAGCTAGCGATCTGTTCAGTTTGAAATGTATAGATATTTAGTCAAAATCTCGTTGTCGGAATGTATCTTAGCAATTATGCAAAACAAATCCCCGTGGAAGTCGTCCACTTCCCCACATGGGGCGGTGGGGTGACCTAGTGGTTAAAGCGTTTGCTCGTCACGCCGAAGACCCGGGTTCGATTCCCCACATGGATACAACGTGTGAAGCCCATTTCTGGTGACCCCGCCGTGATGTTGCTAAAAGTGCCTAAACTTACTCACACTCACTCCACTTCCCCACCCTGCCCTAGTTTCAAAATGAGCGCCTCTGTTCACACACTAAAGAAGTCCTCTCACGTGTTACGCAAATTTGCTCGTGGCTCTCGTGTGATGTCAAGTGCTCGCTGCGCCAGAGTGAAGGAATACCCGGAGAAAGAAACGCTTTCCTATAGCTCCTATAGTCTGTCGGCAGTGAAAACGTACCGATGAATTTCGATTTAAACGAAAAGTAAAATCAAATAAAGTGAAATTAAGATTGCGAATCCTCTTAATTTTATCTTGCCAATTGAGCATTTAAATTATAGAATTTTATTCATCTTAGGATAAAAGTTCTTTAACAAACGATCATATAGATTCAAATCGCTATTATTGGTTTGTATTACAAGGGGGTAAGCGTAGTAGTTGGAACAGTGAAACAAATGCACGTGCGGTACGTGATGAGCGTTAACTTAGACCAACCCTACTTGTTCTCGATGTTTCATCTAATGTGCATACCCCATTGTAATACAAACCAATAATAGCGGTTTGAAACCATGATCGTTTGTTAAACAACTTGTATCCTAAGTTGAATAAAATTGTGAGATTTAAATTTTCAATTGGCAAGGTAAAATTATGAGGATTCGCCGTCTTATTTTCACTTTATTCGATTTACTTTTTTGTTTAAAGTGGAATTCATCGGTACGTTTTCACCGCAAATACAAACAGACTATAGTAGCTTGTAATGATGTGGGTACAACGTCTACAAGCCATTTCTGGTGTCCCACGCCGCTATGTTGCTAGAACCCTGCTATAAAAGTGGCATAAGACCATAGTCATTCTCTTATGATGAGGCGAACTTTGTTTTATTTCTGTGTAAAAAAAAATTTTAACCAGTATTAATGTATATGTAAAAAATAACATATTTACAATAGAACTAGAGTAAAAATCGGTTTTCCGCGGTGTAATATGAATAGAAATATTGTTCAGAATTGTGTAAGATCCACACACTTTTATGAAAACAAACAAATGTTTATAGAAAGGGAATTTTTACGAATCATTTACCTATCTACGTATTGCAATTGTCAATAGTCGGTGAAAACATGTAAAGTAACATCAGATCTGGCATATCTAAAGATTCCAAAGATGTATTAAGACATGAATTTGCGGTACGATTTCAAATGGTGTCCAAAAAGATAGGTAATTCGAAATCAACAAGGTTAGAATATATATATATATACCCATAGAAATGACGTGAATATTGGTACCGTGAATATATCAAACTTGGAATTTTTTAAATGCCCGGTAGTCATCAATTGTGTATATATACAAGGACTGGTCCTTTTCATGCACCCAAAGAATTTTGTTTTTAAAATGTGAGTCCATTGTGTGATGCCGAATGTCTCAGCCATGTGTATATGACTTTGTACCAAACAGCTGTAAGTAGGTAGGTTGTATATCGCCGCACTCAGCAATATTTCAACTATGTGACAGTAAATGATCGAGTCTGGACCAGACAGACCAATGATTGACATTATGAGCATCGATTTACACAAGCGGGATTCGATGACTTAAATCAGAAGCTAGCGCCTGACCACCCGAATTCGTTAGTCGCGTCTTAGGAAGCATGAGTTCCTGAAGACCAATTGAAGACCTTCGCGGGCCTATGAATCACATAGTGGTGATAAGAGGTGATGATATCAAAAACATGTCTCTCAAACCTCCACACTTAAGTACATCTACTACACACTCACTAAAATACATGCCCTGGGGTAACTCCATAATTAAACAGTAAATGGATTGTCATCAACACTACATTCAAATAGGAATGAGTCACCATCGTGAGGTATAACTAAAACTCTAACAGAAAAATTCAACCAAGAAATATATCAACATTTAATACCAACCGCGCAAGAAAGTCGTATATTTAAAGATCTACTAACAACCATACTCCTGAGAACATAAAATCAACAAGACGTATTTATATTTCTCACTGGACAAGATCCTAACCATTTTGTTTTTCACCTTTGAATTATTTCTAAGCAAAGGTGATGGCACAGAGTACAATTACGCTTGGTTGTGTGTAACTGTAGGGCGTGCTTCCTCCCCAAACGCCCTTGTTGGCCCATGGCTCAGGCAAGACCTTTAGCAAACAGGTTCTTCTTCATATCATATGCTACACACACTACCCAGCATTAAGGCATTATACAAAATGGCAACTCGGGGGGAACCTCTTTATCATAAAGCATAGCCTCTTTGAGTATAAATGATTAACTTTAGAAAGCTGTCTGTCATGTTTAGAAAAGGAAGGAGGAGACATATTCGTCCATACAACCGACGCCCGGAACGTCATCTTCGCAAACATCTACGACGGCCCAAGTACCAGTACTGAAAGGATATATGTAGATTGTAATGTATCAAAGGGTCGAACTAGGTCGACAAACACCTCTGGCAGATTTGTTCAAAGTGAGAAGACGAGTTGCAACAGTGCTTTTTTCACAATTGTTTTCAGCTTGTGTACAATATTGAAATTTCATGTTCTGTAAAAATGTTATCGATAATGTTAAAGTATAGTATGTCTGCGGGCTATTTAACACTGAGGTTTACTACTGTGGATGTATGCGGATGTATGTGGTTGCCGTGGTGAATATGTAAACACAGTGTATGTGATCAGAAGGGAGGGGTGCAACTAAGTCAATACGTTCTACCTTAATTCACCTGTCGTCTCGTCACCTTTCTTCGCAGTCGCTGTCAATTCGCACATCAGCCACGCAAGATGGCCGCTCTCACGTTTTCGCTCTGTCTTGCGTTATTTGGAGCAGTTTTTGGTAAGTAACTATATTTCGAACTGTTTAGCAATCGGTTTCGCTGCGCTACTCATGAAAGTGATAGAATAACTATTTTGTTAATTGTTTCTTTATGAAATGACTGCTTGCTATCATACTTTATGATTTTATTTCATCTTCTTTATGATACTTGATAAATAAGGTATATTAAGGCAATTGTTGTCGTGTGTCCCTTATGAATCGGCTCCACTGTGGTTATACAAACATAATACGAGTAATTGATTCAGTGTATACTGTCCATAGTGAGAGTATAGGGAAAATATGGTCGCTGTAACTTTTAAGGGCTGGAGATTTCAAAAATAGATATCTAATAGCTATTGTTTTAAAACGAACATCAAATTGTACCCTAAATCCTAAAATAATTGATAACACCACCGGTAGAAAATATTGCTGGATGTTTTCACACATTTAAGCTAAGCTATTTATATAAGACACCTGGGTGCCGGTGTACAAAACAACGTTAGCGCTACGCCAGTCGTAAGGCTGTGTTGTGGTTTCGGAGTTTCGATCACCTTAGCACTAAGATCGCTTTGTACAAGGGCACCCTGGCGTGCCAGTGTGTCCTTATTACCGGGCTACTGGTATATCTTTAGTTTCATATACTCAACCCTCTGTAAACAACAAACTCGATAACTCGAAATTCAATGATGCACCACATGGGCCCGGTAGAATACATTGGGTGACCATCGTCTAACACCGAAACTCCGCTTAACTCGAACAAGGAGACACTTAGTTTATTACATATTTTATTGACAATAGTACCACGTTTATCTAAAGAAATACCACTGCACATTTTACTCAAGTAAATTTGATTACACCCTGTAAAGACTTAGTAAATGTTCACGCCGGAACTACTTTCAGCAACTATATGGCTTTCAGCACACACCGGCGTAGTGATCACTTAGCATGACATCAGTTCCACGACCTATTTTGCATATCACGTGACTGGATTCTACAGTAGTTTGTAAAGCACACGTATATTTTGAACTCAGACGACATTGGCCTAATGTAAGCCTTTCGGTGCCTTATAACCAGAATGCTGTGTAAACAAAGGCTGACTGAACACATCGAAATAGTGTTTCACATTTTAGAAAATCATTCTATCACAGATGTATACATGTATGTCGATGTGTAGACAGATGGTGGCAGAGAAAGTGTACTGGCCGAATGGAATTCTGGGTAGGAGAGTTAGGTCCCGTAGACAATACACGCTAAATAGATAATTATATATTTTTCATATCTCCCACCATTTCCTTTTAAGTCGACTATTCTGAAAGGAAGGATAAGTTGAGAAACTACTGTCCCAACGACTTAAAATATCTGAGCATAAAACATAGGCGGATCCAGAAGGGGGTTGGGGGGTGCAGGGATGCGCACCCCACTTTTGTCCTAATAGTTTATTAAATAACCATTGGAACTCTCGTGAACACGAGTGAAAATGAACTGTACCACCCCTTTCTCAAAAAGGCGTATCCGCCCCTGTAAAAGCACCCGTAGTAGATCAAACTATTTACAACAAATTTGGCTGATTTCAGGCACAATGATATGGTAATTGTCTTTTAATCTCTCGCGTTTTAGCGACGAGCCTATTTAAGTCGTAGGTACATAAAGACAATTAATGTGTACCCAAACTGAATACTTGTTTGCCTTGCTCCCGATGTTCTACCTTGAACCAGACTTGAGAAAGCTGCAGCCTGTCTGTTACTTCAAATTGTTTCAATACATATATACCGTAGAGCATATTCAAAACACAACAAATCATATCGCTCGTCAAGATTGCGTAACTTTATTACCTCGGCTATGTTCCTGTATAACATTATTATTCATCTCGTCTCGAACAACGAATTACTACTATAGTTTACTGACCCTCTTCTAACTAATATTGGAGCGGTGGCGTAGCCTAGTGGTTAAAGCGTTCGCTCGTCACGCCGAAGACCCGGGTTCGATTCCCCATGGGTATAATGTGTGAATCCCATTAATGGTGTCCCATGACGTGAAATTGCTGGAATATTGCTAAAACTAAACTCACTCACTCTAACCGATATTTGCAGGTAGCGTTGATCTTGTAAACAGGTTCGTGGGGCAGTCTGTGGTTAAGACACGTCCAAGACTTGAGTTCGATTCCAGTCATGTATCCTGTCAGATATATATGCAGTATTGGTTATCCCAATCAGTATGGTCTGGTGTCCCCCGCCGTGATATTGCTGGAATATTGCTAAAAGCGGCTTAAAACCATACTCTCTCAATCAGTATGGTGGCCGAGATTTGAGTTGGGTTGCCGCTCGTTCAGTCACATCCTGATTTATGGTGGCCGAAATAAGAGCCATCGCTTTCTCGATTTCTCTCACCCGTATTTTAAGCGAGAAGTTAATGACCCTTTTCGTCCACCATAAATCAGTGATGTGACTGAACGAGCGGGAACCCAACTCAAATCTCGGTAAAATAACGAGATTTTCTTCATTTTATTTTATTTCATTTCATTTCATTTCATTTTATTTTATTTTATTCATTCTGTTTTATTTTATTTCTCTGATATAAAACTTTGAAATAATTCCACTTATAATAGTATTTCATTTCATTTCATTTCATTTTATTTTCTTCATTCTGTTTTCATTTCATTTCATTTTATTTTCTTAATTCTGTTTTATTTTATTTCTCTGATATAAAACTTTGAAATAATTCCACTTATAGTAGTATTTCATTTCATTTTATTTTCTTCATTCTGTTTTATTTTATTTCTCTGATATAAAACATTGAAATAATTCCACTTATAGTAGTGTCTACGTTTTTATCCTAGAATTAGGGGCGGTGGGGTAGCCTAGTAGTTAAAGCGTCCGCTCGTCACGCCATAGACCCGGGTTCGATTCCCCACATGGGTACATCGTGTGAAGCTCATTTCTGGTGTCCCCCGCCGTGATATTGCTGGAATATTGCTAAAAGCGGCGTAAAACCATACTCACTCACTCACAATATCGTCGAATTAAACGTTTGACATTATTCCAACCCACAGGCCAGGATTGCGGTAGGAGTTTGTTTTACCCGGAAGGCAGAATCATCGGGGGTGTTCCAGCCTCAGCATGCAGCGTCCCCTGGCACGCACAAGTCCATTTTCTTCCAAACAACGCAGACCCCGCATTCAACCCCAGTCAGGACCTCAACGCCGTCAACACCCTCAACTGTGGCGCAGTCATCCTTGACGAGCTACATGTGTTGATATCGCCGACGTGCATGTTCCTGTAATATTTGCATTTTATCAGTTATTACACTCGTTTAGATCATCACTGGATTGTCTGGTCCAGACTCGTTTATTTACAGACCGCTGTCATAGATGGAATATTGCTGTGTGCGGCGTTAAACAACAACCGAACCATACCAAACTTGTGGTTTTGACTCAAAGATCCATCCATGGCACGACCCAGAAATAAGTAGTTGGCCACACAGAAAATGACCATAATATACACACTATCAAATCCTTTCGAATAGCCCATATACACCTTCAAACGTATAAAAGCCAACAAACCTGACCTTGTTTTGTTTTTATATAAAACCAACAAAAGTATATACATTGAATTTTGTCAAGTAAACATGGCAAATATACGGACCAGGTTTGTATATCTCACAAATACCAGGATGGTGGGGAGCCTAGTGGTTAAAGTGTATGCTCGTCACGCCAAAGGTCCGGGTTCGATTCCCAACATGAGTACAATGTGTGAAGCCAATTTTTGGTGTCCCCTCCCTCTGCCCCTCCCGCCGTGATATTGCTGGAATATTGCTGGAATGTTACTAAATGCGGCGTAAAACCCACCTCAGTCACTCAAGTACCAAGTTGACTTACTACCCATTGTTCTCCGTAACCCAGGTTTGGATACTCCCAATATGTTGACTGACACTGGGAGAGTACCCGGCGGTGGCGTCAGTAACACAGTCCTTCTGGGTATTGAAGGAGGCTGCTGTGTTGGGGAGTCCTCACATTCTATGCAATGTCCCTGTTGGTTCGACTAGTCGGCGCTTACTGATAGCTGTGCGTGGCTTTGCGAGGATTAAAGATTTAAAACAAAAATACATAAAAATTGGAGATAACCGCCGACTCGAAATGCTTCACAGTACAATACACCATGATGTATTGTACTGTGAAGCATTTCGTGCCGGGGGTCATCTCAAAAGCAATATGTTTTTAATCTATAATCCTCGGTAGACACGAGGGCCCGTGGTCTGGACTGTAAAGAGGGACAAGAATCCTACCAAGCTTGACAGGGCCAGGGAATATTTTAATCAGTAATTGAAATATTTGCGCGAGTTCAGACATTTTGTATTTATCATATTTGGCATTTATCAAAGAACTAGTACAGAGAGACCTTTGTTTTACAGGTATGGAACCGATGTGTCAAATCTTCTCTCGCGGGTACTGATCGCAGCTGGAGATAATGACGTCAGCATCTTTCCTGAAACGTCCGTTCTCGGTACCCAACAAGAACAGTTCGGTACACCAGATTCCATTTACTTCCAAGACGAGTACACGATTCGAACACAAGCACAGCTGTTTGCTGGCATCAACCCAAGCGCTAACGACTTCAGAGCTTTCAGAGGCAAGTCATTACGTACAATCCCCTATTATATAGTGCATCGTACTCATATCTCTTCTAATAAATAGCTTGGAAGAGTTGCACTTCAAACAGTGAGACACTCCCAATGAACGTAGTCAGTTGCACTTCGAACAGTCAAGGATTACCAATGTGCATCACTCTTTGCACTATGAACAGTAATGGATTCCAGTGTACTTAGCTGATTGCACTTCGAAAAGTTACAGAGTTACAAAGTACGTAGCTAGTTACACTTTGAACAGTAACGGATTCCAGATTACTTAGCTGATTGCGCTTCGAAAAGTTACAGAGTTACAAAGTACGTAGCTAGTTACACTTTGAACAGTAACGGATTCCAGTGTACTTAGCTGATTGCACTTCTTCGAAAAGTTACAGAGTTACAAACGTACTGTAGCTGGTTACACTTTGAACAGTAACGGATTCAGTGTACTTAGCTGTACTTAGCTGATTGCACTTCGAAAAGTTACAGAGTTACAAAGTACGTAGCTAGTTACACTTTGAACAGTAACGGATTCCAGTGTACTTAGCTGATTGCACTTCGAAAGTTACAGAGTTACAAAGTACGTAGCTAGTTACACTTTGAACAGTAACGGATTCCAGTGTACTTAGCTGATTGCACTTCGAAAAGTTACAGAGTTACAAAGTACGTAGCTAGTTACACTTTGAACAGTAACGGATTCCAGTGTGTACTGATTGCACTGATTGCACTTCGAAAACAGTAACGTTACAGAGTTACAAAGTACGTAGCTAGTTACACTTTGAACAGTAACGGATTCCAGTGTGATTGCACTTACAAAGTACGTAGCTGATTGCACTTCACTTCGAAAAGTTACAGAGTTACAAAGTACGTAGCTAGTTACACTTTGAACAGTAACGGATTCCAGTGTACTTAGCTGATTGCACTTCGAAAAGTTACAGAGTTACAAAGTACGTAGCTAGTTACACTTTGAACAGTAACGGATTCCAGTGTACTTAGCTGATTGCACTTCGAAAAGTTACAGAGTTACAAAGTACGTAGCTAGTTACACTTTGAACAGTAACGGATTCCAGTGTACTTAGCTGATTGCACTTCGAAAAGTTACAGAGTTACAAAGTACGTAGCTGGTTGAACACCAAGGAGGGGCATGCTCAAAGCGCTACAATCTGATCATTATTACCCCGGATAACCCAAGCTGACTATGAAGCACTAGAAGGTTAATAGCCACATGACTTATTCCACCGGGTACCCATTTTCTGCTGGGTGAACAGGTGAGGTGAAATTGGGTTTAACGTCGTGCTTGAGAATATTTCGCTCATATGACGACGTCTGGGTGAGCAGAGGCAAGTTTGAATAAACGTAACTGAGTTAACGTAAGCTTTGTCTCAGAAGTGACGTCACTGTCTCCAGCTTTCCTTTGACTGAATTTCTCCCGTTCATTTGTGTACTCTGATTGAATGTCTATGATTGCCCTGTGTCCTTTGTCAGGGCTTACAGTGAAGCAGTTGTTAGGCAACAACGCAGGAGTTTCAAAGATCCTGATTCTCAGTGCTACTACTATCCAAACTGCAGAGGAGCATCTCTAAACAGTTGTGTAATCACACTTTTGTGATGATACATTTTAATGGCCGGTAGCGCTAATATATGCTATGCAGAATATATGCTATGCCCATATCATGATGAGCTGATCGATTCACCATGGTCCTTGGCTTATCGTCATGACTTGCTTGTTGGCTTACACCAAGTAGCAACCTCGTGATTTGATCCTCAGCTTTGCCGACAAAACCGATTTAACTGAAATCCTGTTCTAAACGACTTTTGGGGCGGTAGGGTAGCCTAGTGGTTAAAGCGTTCGCTCGTCACGCCGAAGACCCGTGTTCGATACCCGCAATGAGTACAATGTGTGAAGCCCATTTCTGGTGTGCCTCCGCCGTGATATTGCATTCATGAATATCTACGTGACGTAAAACTATGCTTTTAAACCCAATCACTCATTCCAGATACATAACATGAGTTTCTGATTCTTTCAGATAATCAGTGTGGAATAATCAAGCTGAAAGCACCGTTGGTCATGAACAATTGCGTCAACAAAATCTGTTTGCCCACTGCCGCTGATGACCCAGCCTGTACATACAAAGGATGTATACTCACTGGGAACGGTCTTATCACATCCACGAGTAAGTTTTTGTGGGCAACCAGCTATCTATTCTCCCATATCATCTGTGTGTTCTCGAGAAATTGGTAGCCTAGTGGTTAAAGCATTCGCTAGTCAGGCCGAAGGCCCAGGTTCGATTCCCCACCATTTCTTTTGTCCCCCGAGGTGATATTGCTAAAAGCGGCTTAAAACTCAACTCACTATCGTGAAGTTAGTTGCATTAGTGTTTGGGTTTGGGTTGGTAGGTAACCTGTGCTTGTCGTAATATTTACTGTGGGCTCGGGGTCATCGTACGACGGGGTGGGACGATGTTCATAACATTAATCACTGGTTTAAGCCCTTTCATTGTGTTAAATGATGAAATATATTTTCCAGCCGACGGTTCGCAACCAACAAGGAACAACCAGACCGACATTATCCGTATGACGGCTCTACCCCCTGCTGCCTGTGCTGTGCTAGAACGGATGGGAAATGCCCAACCCTCTACCAATAGTCTCTGTGCCAAGTCGGAGACCGGTGGATTCCCATGCATTGTAAGTGACCACTCTCCTAGAAACGTCTCCCGGGGTACTTGTGACAAGTACGTTGCCCTAACCCGTGAAGATCCGGATTAGAATTGATCTTCAGTAACCCATGTTTGTCGGAAGAAGTGACTAACCGGATCCGGTTTTCAGTCTCTCGGACTTGATGACACATGACATCGTATTCCAATTGCTTAGAACGGTGCTCATGCTGTTGGTCACTTGATTGTCTGGTCCAGACCGCCGCCATGTAGCTGGAATATTGTTGAGTGCGGCATTAAACAAACAAACCTACCAACCAACGTTGCCCAAATGCCCTGTTTTGTCAGATGACTGAGTTGCCTCCCTTAGTTGCCTCTTCGACAAGCAAGGGCGGTGAGGTAGTCAAGTGGTTAAAGCGGTTGTTCGTCACGCCGAAGACCCAGGTTCGATTCCCCACATGGGTACAATATGTATTTCTGGTGTCCCCCGCCGTGATATTGCTGGAATTTTGTTAAAAGCGGCGTAAAACCACACTTACTCACTCACTCACTCACTCACTTACATTAAGCATGGGTTGCTGAAGATCAGTTCTAACCCGGATCTTTATGGGTCAGCACTTGAAGTATCGAGGATGAAAATACGAATATTTAGATTTACAAATTATGTTATTATATTTTTCAGAATGATAATGGTGGAGCACTCGCATGTTTCAACACTGACACCCAACGGTGGTTCCTCAGGGGCGCCGCGCTCGTCGACAACTGCAGTGCAGCATCTGCCTCAGGTTTCGCAGACGTCTCGCAATGCCTTCCCTTCATTGAGAGGACACTGGCCGGACTTTCTACCCCCGCTGTGTAAAGCACAACAACCCAAGTTATGACCGATTTACCGTGAAAAGACTCAAAGCCAATTATGATGCAATAAATAAGTTATTTTTCAAAAAAATCGTTACTTCTGTTTTTGCTAGCACTGTTTAAAGAGTTTTGCAGTGATCAAGAGAATGCTGTTTTAAGCTACTTTAGTATGTTGTTTCGTATAACAGGGCAAATCAGAGGGTTAACACAATTTATATACTCAGCAGCAAAAAAAGGACGTCAGTGCGAATTCAAAATTAGATAGGCACTGTAATCAAATCATTACAGAAATGGACATAATAAGCGGATCAAAAACATTTTTTGTGTACAATATCCTGACGCATCAATGAATAACTCGGCACAATTCCAAGACATTACGTGAACGTTTGCAGTCCATTCAGACTCTTGACTTCAGTATCTAGTGTGACCACCACGAGCGGCAATAACTGCAGCACAGCGTCTATGCATGGAGTGCACCAATCGATTGATGAAGGCCATTGGCACCTGGAACCACACTCTGAGAAAGGCCTGGCGGAATAAATCGGCTGTGTTCGGCCTTGGTATGACATTATTCAGTCTCCTCTGAATTTCATACCAAAGATGTTCAACTGGGCTTAAATCAGGACTAAGGGCTGGCCACTGCATAATGTTGACACCGCTCTGCTGTAGGAAGTCCCGCGTAGCTCTGGCAGTATGGGCCAGGGCGTTATCATGCTGGAAAATGTTGTTCCGGTGACGTGCGAAATGTGGTATGACGTGGGGTCTGAGAGCTTGGTCGATGTAGCGCACCGCTGTGATGCCGCCTCCTCTCCCTGGACCAAAGTTCTGGAACACCACAGGCCCACTCTCTGGTTCAGGTCTATTCCACCCCATACCATGATGCTTGCACCTCCCCATGAGTCTTTTTCCATAACACGTTGGTCTGAGTAACGCTGGACACGTCGTCGTCATGTTCTTGTTCTGCCATCTGCAGTTGATACGCAGTTACCGACTCTCATCTGTGAACAGAACAGTTCTCCATTGCCTGTATCGCCAGTTTTGGTGTTGTAGGGCAAACTGTAGACGTCCACGCCGATGATGAGGGATGAGGATAGGTCCACGGTAAGGTCTATGGCAATGGAGGTTCCCGCTGTTAAGAGGTCGGAATACTGTATCAGTACTGATTGGTCTTCGGTGTGTTCCCACTGTCTGGCGTGCTGTTTCGGATGCCTGCATGAAGGGATTCTTATACATGCTGTCGCACAACATGGCGGTCTTCTCGTCTTGTGGTCACCCTTGGTCTGCCTGTACGGGGGTGATCATTTGTGGTGTTGGTGGCCCGGAAACGTTGCTGCAGCCTGTAGATGGTCAGAACGTTGACCTAGAAGTGATTGGCAACGGCTAGTGCAGAGTGGCCAGCTTAAAGTCTTCCTAGCGCCTGGTTCCTCTGAGCTGTCGAGAGTCGCGGCATCCTGCTGACGTTGTAATGTGAATGTGTCAACCAGGTTTGGGGGTGCATTTTATAGGGCTGGTCATGTGAACAGCACGTGCAGCATGAGTTGCATAAAAAACACGGAGAACACCGTGCCATCTCCGAGATCAGGTTGCGTTTTTGAGACCATTTCCAGGGTTCCATTCCGAGTTTGGGAAGGAATGGAAGGATTCTGTCTTTGCTCAGGTAAAATGGAGATGTTGTCAAAAATATCAAATGAGTTTACAGTTATCCGTTTCTGCGAAGTCAAATTCCAAACGGACGTTTTTTTTGCTGCTTAGTATATTTGGGATTACACTTTCATAGTGAAGTACAGATACTAGTACTTTTGTTGGGTTGAGTCACAGTCAGGATTCAAACCTACACACTCAGAGTCAGGCACCTAAGTCAGCAAAGTCAGCCATCCAACCCACTCGGCCACTGGGGCTTCAACAAAAACAGTCGACAACTGATTGTCTAGATCACATACTTTGTGTACCCCTCTGTCAAGTGTATGGGCATGGCTCCCACGGCCAAACTGTGAATAAACAGTGCCATTTAGAAAGTTTCAAAATGTAACACGTGGTATACTCGAGATTACTCTTTCTCAGTGAAAGCTCCGGTAAAAGTCGGTTTGATGACTGACTTTGTGTGTGAGAAAGTGTACTCCCAAATAAACCATGTGTTACATTTGAGCACTTTCTAAATGGCATTGTGTAGTTAATTCAGAGGTTGATAGTATGAGCATCGATCCACCTGTCAGGACTCGATGACACAAAGTCAAATCTTGTACACCGAGTGATGCCTCTTTGTGTAGAGATTAGACACCATCCATCAGGCTATCCGTAATTTTGCTGCATCTCATCTCCAACCTCCACCAGCATTAGCAGCGGACGAAAAAACCCGAAAGATCATAAAAAATGCTTTTACTGATTGTGGAAGATATTTCATGACATTTTACAATTTAAATTACTTTATGATGCTGATCGAGTCGGAAACAACAGGATAATAAATGTAGATGAAGAAAGATCAACCTGGCTTAGTTTTCTTATGACTGACTGACTGACTGAGTTTGGTTTTACGCCGCTTTTAGCAATATTCCAGCAACATCACGGCGGGGGACACCAGAAATGGGCTTCAAGTTTTCTTATGAGTGTCTAAGGGCAAGAGTAGTTTGTTTACAACATTAGGGCATAAAATTCCACAGCACAGCAGAGGGAAAACTTGAGATAAAATATCTTGTTCTTATTTTGCAAAATTCTGGACGTGCGGGCGGGAGATAGCAAACAGAAACAAACAAGTAAACAAATGTGAGCAAAGCTTGCTTATACCCCCGACCGCGAACCCAACTTCAGCTGTAGAACATTTAATATTGATTACACTTGATAACAATGCAAGAGTTAGACAAACCTTGCACTGCACATTCTATATAAACAAAGAAATCATTACTCAAATCTGAAAACAATCCATTATATGATTGTAAAGGAATTGGTATTACAAATTTCTTCAAGAGATGTAATTTGTGATAATTCTCATAAATTGGAGATGTCCCTATTGTGGAGGGGAAACCCTCCACAATAGGGACAACAATGCACAGTCTGAACAACCGTCTAAATCAGGTCAACCATCTACAATCTGGATAAACATCTACAATCAGCATTACTATCCACAATCAGGAAAACCTTCTACAGTCTGGCCAACCATCCAGTAAGAAGAACCATCCACAGTCAAACATCCATCCATAATCTGGACAATCATCCATCCATCAGTCAGGACAACCATCCATACAACCATCTGGACAATCATCCAGTCAGGAACCATCCACAGTCAGGACAACCACCCACAGTCAGGTCAACCATCCACAGTCAGGACAGCCATCCAAGTCCAACCATCCACAGTCAGGTCAACCATCCACAGTCAGGACAACCATCCACAGTCAGGTCAACCATCCACAGTCAGGACAACCATCCACAGTCAGGACAACCATCCACAGTCAGGACAACCATCCACAGTCAGGACAACCATCCACAGTCAGGTCATCCACAGTCAGGACAACCACCCACAGTCAGGTCAACCATCCACAGTCAGGACAACCATCCACAGTCAGGACAACCATCCACAGTCAGGACAACCATCCACAGTCAGGACAACCATCCACAGTCAGGACAACCATCCACAGTCAGGACAACCATCCACAGTCAGGACAACCACCAACAGTCAGGTCAACCATCCACAGTCAAGACAACCATCCACAATCAGGACAACCATCCACAATCAGGACAGCCATCCACAGTCAGGACAACCATCCACAGTCAGGACAACCATCCACAGTCAGGACAACCATCCACAGTCAGGACAACCATCCACAGTCAGGACAACCATCCACAGTCAGGACAACCATCCACAGTCAGGACAACCATCCACAGCCAGGACAACCATCCACAGCCAGGACAACCATCCACAGTCAGGACAACCATCCACAGGACAACCATCCACAGTCAGGACAACCATCCACAGTCAGGGCAACCATCCACAGTCAGGACAACCATCTACAGTCAGGACAACCATCTACAGTCAGGACAACCATCCACAGTCAGGGCAACCATCCACAGTCAGGACAACCATCTACAGTCAGGACACAGTCAGGACAACCATCCAGAGTCAGGACAACCATTTACAATCAGGACAACCATCTACAATCAGCTACAATCAAAACAACCATCTACAATCAGGACAACCATACATAGTCGGTACAACCATCCAGTCAAGACAACCATCTACAATGAGGACAACCATCCACAATCAGGACAACCATCTACAGTCAGGTCAACCACCAACAGTCAGGACAACCATCTACAATCAGGACAACCATCCACAATCAGCTACAATCAAAACAACCATCTACACAGTAAAACAGAATGAAGACAGTACAATGCTCTGTGTAGTACAACAACCCTTAGCAATAGGTGATAAGTGATAATATGATCCAATCAATGTCTGTCCTATAAGGAACTGCAGTTACTGAATGATGTCCATTTTATAAATGTAGACATTACCAAAGATATTCATCTGAAAGGCAAGGGTTTCCAAATTCACAGGGTTGGGTCAAACATATTTTCATTGTATGTTTGTCATAAAAATTGCAAACCCAACACATTACATAAAATAACATTGAATGATGTATTTACATGTTTTATTTCACTGATCAATTTCTTTACACTTGAATACCCAGCTTTATTTCTAGAATATGTTCCAGTTGCCAGTATCCATGTACAACCCGTCAACACCAGCTGGACACAGCCCTGGGCTGATTCCTGGCAGTGTTCCTCGCCACCTTACTTCCCTCGCAATCAGTCACAACTAAACCCTGCATCTGATAAAACAAAAGTCAGCTGGCCACATCACGACATCATCGTGTTCATCAATCAGACCTCTTGTCACATGACTGGTGTCTGTGTCCACATGATGAGTTCCCACTTTGTGAGTTGACAGGCAGGGTCAAATTTAATCGATTATTGAAACACAAAAATTTGCCGAAAATAATTCTCTGTTTGTCATTAACTCATAGTGACAAATTTGTTATGTGTCAGAAGTTGAATGGGGTTTTATAAGGCAAAATCTGTTTAACCTAACATATAAGTTGACCTTGGGGGAAGGTAGTCTTGAGGTTAAAGCATTCATAATATTGTCACTGTTATTTAGCTGGAATCTTGCTAATGGCATCATTAAACTTCACTCACTCACTTACTCACTCACTCACTGACTCCATGTTTAACTAAGGGCATTGATTTTACCAGTCTGTATATAAAGGGACAGAGTGAGTGAGTGAGTTTAGTTTTACGCTGCACTCAGCAATATGCCAGCTATATGGTGGCAGTCTGTAAATAATCGAGTCTGGACCAGACAATCCAGTGATCAACAGCATAAGCATCGATCTGCACAATTGGAAACCGATGACATGTGTCAACCAAGCCAGCGAGCCTGACCACCCGATCCCGTTAGTCGCCTCTTATGACAAGCATGGGTTACTGAAGGTTCATTCTAACCCGGACCTTGACGGGTCTCAAGGGACAGAACTCAAGAAGTGTACAACATCTGCTGTGGCTGACCAATCTGTCAAAGTATGAATGTCAAACAGAGCATGTATATAACTTGATGATTATTTTTTTCTGAGAAATAATGTAATCACAAAGTATATTCCAAGTGTATAAAGTGCCAGCAGTAAAAATATGACTGGGAATTTGAAAAATATAGACATTTTCTTAAACATTCAAATTTCCTAAAAACAAAATAAGTTAGTGATTACGAATATCCTCATAACTATTCATGCTCCCTAACTTCTTTTGTTCAATATGGTTGGAAATAGGCAGACAGAGCTTAGATCTCACTTGCACAGTCAAATCTCAGCAACCAAGCAAAGACTTTGTTGTAACTTTGTTGTAACATTTGAGATGAACACGGCATGAACATCTAAAGAAACCAAGTAAGAATATTACAGATATAAAGTACTACTGCATACTAAAGAACACAACATGCATGCAATTTCAAAATGAAGTGTATTGTACAAACAATGATTAATAAGATTGGCAGTGTATGAAATAAGGCCCGTCTGACCGCCCGAGACGGGCTAGATTTCTGCCGGACAGTCTAGTTTTACAGCTAGCCAGCCCGATAGATGGGTGAAAAATATTATTCAGATAACGTATCCACTGGCACTGTCTATTTAGTATTTAAAAAGGACTGGTTAAATCTCTTATGGGCTGGTAAGTTTTTGAAGTTACCAGCGCAGATGTCTGGCTGGGTTTTGGTTGATTTCACACACAGATTGGTGACAAATAACATACACTGTAAAAGTACCCCACCTTACCACTCTAATATCACTCTCAGGGTACACCAGACATGAGGGGTATCAAACCAAGGTCTGGGCGTGATCAAACCTCAACCACAAGGTCTGTGGCGTTCATGGCCTTATCTTCAGAAACTATTGTCCAACCACTTCTATCACTGTACATATTCACCTGCATCACCTTATCTTCAGAAACTATTGTCCACACCACTTCTATCACATAACTCACACCTTCACCTGCATCCTTCGCCACTAACAATCACTGAAACTATTGTCCACACCACTTCTATCACATAACTCACACCTTCACCTGCATCCTCGCCACTAACAATCACTGAAACTATTGTCCACACCACTTCTATCACATAACTCACACCTTCACCTGCATCCTCGCCACTAACAATCACTGAAACTATTGTCCACACCACTTCTATCACATAACTCACACCTTCACCTGCATCCTCGCTATTAACAATCACTGAAACTATTGTCCAGACCACTACTGACACATAACTCACACCTTCACCTGCATCCTCGCCACTAACAATCACTGAAACTATTGTCCAGACCACTACTACCACATAACTCACACCTTCACCTGCATCCTCGCCACTAACAATCACTGAAACTATTGTCCAGACCACTACTGACACATAACTCACACCTTCACCTGCATCCTCGCCACTAACAATCACTGTTTAGAGTGAGTGAGTGAGTATGGTTTTACGCAGCTTTTAGCAATATTCCAGCAATGTTCGTGGGGGACACCAGAAAAGGGCTTCACACACTGTACCCATCTGGGGAATCGAACCTAGGTCTTCAGTGTGATGAGCGAACGCTTTAACCACTAGGCTACCCCACCCGCCCCACTGTTGAGAATACACGCATCATACATAACATGTCAACAATATATACATGTACCAGTTTACACAGAAATATTTTCTGATTGACATTGTAACTTATATTTTCTTCACGAATACTGACAACCTTCAAATTGAAAACATGACAAAAGTTGTCTGACAGTTCCCATCACTGGGAGGAAGACTGACACACACATAACCGGATGCAGGGGACATGTACTATATATCGGTTATATCAACTAAAGAAAAATATATTTAGGATCTTTTTCAATTTTTTCTTCTCAAATTGAAATGATGCATCAAAGATTCTGCTGACGTCTTGTCTGACATATATGCTAGATCCAGACAATTTGAAATATACATATTTTACCCTTTTTATTTACACTAAGTGACACACTAATCATAACCAAATATTTACAAAAAAATCACAATTTTGTATTTAAAAACTCTTATAATTGTACAAGATCTGAACTTTTGTTCATTTATTTCAAACAGAGATAAAATATCAAGACTGCTGCAAAGAATAGCCAAGCAATAAATGTAACCAACGTTGCCGTGTTGTTTACTCGTTGTCATGCTCACACGTCTATGGCCAAGCAGGATGACGGATCAGAAAAATGTATCCAATCTCTAATGTTGAAAAAAGCGCAAATTCTAGAATACATCTGATTACACACTTGGAAAACCAATATTAATGTGTCTGTAGCCAGACTACCTTCACTAAATGCATGTGTTATTTGGGATTAAACTTTCTCGGTAAAGTACAGATTCTAGTACTTATGTTGGGTTGGGTATCATCCGGGATTCAAACACACACTCTCAGTCACCAGCACACAAAGTCAGCCGTCTAACCCACTCAGCCACCGCAGCATCCACATGGGTTAGACGGCTGACTCTGTGTGCTGGCGATTAGGTGCCTGACTTTGAGGGTGTAGGTTCAAATCACCGATGAGACTCAACCCATCCACAGTACTAGAGTCTGTACTTTACGAGAAAATGTAATCCCAATATTTGACATCCACATATACTTCATCACTTCATGTACATCAAATCAAAGACTTTACATTGCTTACAGGTTTTAATTCCAGATTTTTCCCACTCAGATCAATGTTATCAATACTATGATGAGATCATGCAAATAATCAAGTCTGGGCCAGACAATTCAGTGATTTAACTATAATAGTTATTTATATAGCAAACATCCATGCCGTAGGGGCATTGGTCACTGACCCGTCAATTCATTTCACCACCAAGTACATAGGGCTGGCTAAAATGATCGATAATCAGAAATATCATCGATAGAAAAACTTATTAATGATCACCAATATTAAAATTGTGTTATCGATATCGTACACGAACTTTTGTGAAAGAAAAAAGGTTTAATTTTCTCACACAATGTTCAGTTTTAGGATTTTATTTATGGTCTACGTCTACATCATGTTCAGGATAATGTTGTGTCAGCAACCCATGGATAAACATGTCACCTCTCACCTCTGATGTCAAATATATTTATTTCTCTTAGACATATTTAGCAACTTTGCTCAAAGTTACGCCTACGATATTTGTCGATAATCAATTTCTATGATCTATACTACCCATCAAAACTTTAGACTCACTTGTGTAAATGTAGCCACTTTCTTAGTCAACTGTTCTAAATTAGATTTTGCAAAATATTCCATACTGTTTACACATGAACTGATGTATTGTAAAACAAATTCGTAACATTGAAAAGATAATTGTCATGAGTTCAACTAATGATGAACCTCAGTGAAAATTGGTGAATTCTTAACAAAACTTTACACCAAAACACAGTTGTTCACATGCTCGATATTTGCACATGCTTTTCAGCAATTTGATGCATGATCCTCATGCAATTCATCTGCATAAGGTTTGCAGTTGATTCCCCCAAGTTAGTGGAGAAATTGATCTTCGATGTAACCTCACATATATACATAACATATAGTGAGTGATTTAAGTGAGTCTAAACTTTTGGTGGGTAGTATATATCAACAGCCAGCCCTACGAGTACGCCAAGCATGGACTACTGGAGAACCAACTGCCGGCACTACCTACAGGTAACTATGGTAGGTCTGTTAATTCACGTAAATGCTTTGGGCTATATCTCACATTGAAAACAGTACTGGAACTATAACTGGAAACACAACCAGGTCGACCTGACCTCAATCAAAGACAATGTCACCAGTTCAAGCACATGAAAGAAAAATGTTTTAAACCTAGAAAAGGAGTGGTTTGTTTTACCCCACTTTTGGCAATATTCCAGAAATATCATGGCAGGGGACACTAAATGGGCTTCACACATTGTATCCATGTGAGAAATCAAACCCGGGTCTTCGGGATGTGAGCGAACACTTTAACCACTAAGCTACTCCACCACCCCTTTTAAACCTAGGAATATGCACTAAAATGCAAAGGAACTTTCTCAAATCCACAAACATCAGCCATCGTGCAATTTCAAATCACCAAGCACTTTAACTGTCATATTTCAAGGTATGCGTAGCATTCACAGGCATTGATATTAGGGCAACATTTTATATTTCTGTGTTTCTCATCACTGAACTGACTGCAATTAGGCTGTCGCTGACACCCCCCACAACACACCCAATTTTTTACAATTGTTTGCCAACTTGAACTCAGGACCTGCTCTATCAATTGCCTCCTTCCTGTGTCATTGCTTGGACAAAGGCTTCAGGTAGAGGACAAGTGAGAATCTGAATCACAAGAAATCTAACGGCTAGCTATTAACATATTTCTTTCTTTACATTTCACTTTACTCTTTAACATAAGTAGGGGAACTTCACTTTTGTTTACGATTGATAAAATTGGGAGATATATCGGAGTCAATCAATGTTGATATGATAATAATGAATGTTTTGAGAGTTCATCACCACTTGCACTTCCTTATGACCATAGTTGTTTGTACAGTAATCGGTCTTGAAAGACGATTGGTGTATGACGTAAAATTTGCATGTGTACAATTTTTTCATTTTCAAATACAAAATATTGACTAGAAACAAACACTAACAGGTGTGTGATGCAAGATGATTTGTCGAAATTAATGGTCTACAGTCACTAATCGACCTTCTTGGAAACCCTCAAAACCATGCACGTGTATGTGGCTACTGCATTGTGCATCCCATGTGTTGTGTTTAGGGGTGGTGATAAAGAGAAATGGTGGTGTGTTCATAAGATGTCCGTCTTTGAAAATTGTTAAGGCTAATACTTTCTATCCAAATTGAAAGTTCAGGTTCCCCTACTTTTTTTGAAGAGTATATTAATACACTGTCATAATAAGAGTAAAGAAACTTTGTAATGAGGTGCGTAACTTGTCATTTAATCTATATTGATTTTCTGCTGTGTTTTGTTGTTGTTCTCTGTTGCCTTTACTTGCAGAGCAATGTGTTATGGATTCTTAATAAACAAATTTGACAAATAATTTTGACGTATATATATTTTAATTCCTGAGTACCAAAGAAAACAGAATACATTAGTTTTTTCTTCTTTTCTGATGTTCATGTGAATATTTCAAGAAACTTTTATTCTTATTTTGTTTTGTTTTTCATTATTTTGTTTTAAACCGACCCACCGAACCAAATTCAGATCACAGTAGCTATGTGAATCACAAAAATGATGGTCTTAGGCAAGAAAAACACTCTCAAATACCTTCATAGCCAAGGAGGAACATTGTTCCAGGTTCAAACCCAGGAAGAGGTTTTGTGGTTCCACATTGCATTATCATTAACATGTCTATATCCTCATCTCTGGGCACCAACTGTGCTTCTCGTATCACATCCACGATGGACATTTCATTCCATGAAGCTGGCTCAAAATGGCTCTCCCTTCCACTGTAATCCTTCCACGAAAGAATCCAGTCTTTCTTTAATCAAGCTTATCACTGACACATCATTTAAAACCTCCTGAATGTCTAAAAGTAGTTTGGTTAAACACATGATTCAGTGTCAATGATTGCCATTCAGAGAATTGCATGAAAACTGCCAAATAAAAGCCTTTTAATTTTATACAAACAACTATGTTGTTTGAGTCTGTTTTCTCCTGGTTAATAACTTAAACTAAGGCATGGATAAATCAACCAATCCACAAAATCATAATCATCAACATGAAAACAAAACAAATCACAGACTCATCAACCACTGGCACTCTGTTCCACGAGTGATTTGAACACTACGACTACCCTACATTCATCGTACATTAGGTGAATTACGATAGTCGTAAATCTCAAATAACTTGGGAATCTGGTCCAGGGCACTTTGCAATATCAAAGGTCATACTCTTGCCATACAAGACAACCAAGCATCGTTCATGTGATGACTTCTGTTTGCCATGGCGATGATGGCACTATGACACAAGATCCATATACTGAGTCCGTCGTTGAGCCTTGGCTCGAAGGCGGCTGCTTCGCCGAGCTCGCGGTGATTTAGAGTCCAGGACGCTACAACACTCCTCATCATCCTGGAGATCCATGGCGTCTGTGCTCAGGTAGTCCCACTTAGCCACTGTTCCATCCCACTGGAAGACAACAAGAAGGCAGGGTTCAGATGATATCATTGCAGAGGTACAGATAAGCTGCGTATCTGCGTAAATTACGCAAATATTTATGTGAAAACTCATTTTCTATTAAGTCTATTACGTACAAGTACGCTTGAATTTTTGTAAATACTCAATAAATGTGATCTTACATGTGTACACACAAAAAATGTCAAATCTTAGCTTGCGTACCGGTGGATAGATAAAATAACTCAGGTATACTGAGAGGTTCTATATCAGGACATGAGCTTGACAACTTGCAGTCTTTCTTATCATTTCTCATATTTCAGATCAAATATAAATAACAAACATTAACATTTAAACTTTATTACATTTTCAAAATTAATGGAAAATGTCAAAATACCAAATTGAGTTTGAGTGAGTTGAGTACAATTTATTTGGTTACTCAAAGAAAAATTAGGATACCCAACTGAGATGAACACAAATGAGTACATAACTCAATGACCCAAAACGTTATCTGTAGCTCTGTCATCGGCTTGATGAGGGGACTCAACTACACACCAACTAGCATGTCTTTCAATTAAAATTTGTTCACAAATGTTACACTCCTATTATTCTTGTCGGAATAATTACAATAACAATAATAATGACAACTATCCAAACCCTCTTTGCTGCACTGATTAATGCATGCACTCACTGATATGAATCAATAAATCTGTAGACCCGTGAAGATCTGGGTTAGAAATGGTCTTCAGTAGCCCATGCTTGTTGTAAGAGGCGACTAACAGGATCGGGTGGTCAGGCTCGCTGACTTGGTTGACACATGTCATTGTATCCCAAATATGTAGATCAATGCTCATGCTGTTGATCACTGGATTGTCTGGTCCAGACTTGATTATTTGCAGACCGCCACCGTATAGCTGGAGTATTGCTAAGTGTGGCGTTTAACAAGAACCAAACCAAACCAAAATCTGTAAAACACAATAATAATTCCAATACATTTCTATAATGAAACAGAAACACAAAAACTAGCTACAAGTACAACTTTCACTTCTGCCATCGACCTAAGTGAAGGGCTCTCTTACTGCAATGCTGTCTCTGATCTGTGTTGCTTGAAACAAGGATGAGAGACAAAGATGAAGATACAACTGACACTCACCGATGTGCTCATGATGATGTTCTCATAAGGATGCCACGACACATCCCTCACACACGCTCTGTGACCCTCCAGCTTCCGAACAATCTTCCCCGTCAGGAGGTCATATACTGAAAACAGTCAAACATGTGTATTTCACCTGCATTTCATAAAGACACATAATAACCACTCACATAAAGTAATCATAGGTTAAACATGAAGCTCCAACAGCCCTTACCCAAGATATGGTTTCCCATGGGTAAAATAATTACCCACCAACACAAAGGGGGAACTGAGCAGGCCCTATTTCAATGGAAACTGCCAAATACATTCACAGGTCACCATAACCATACAAACTAATATTTGTGCAAAAACTCAAAGCTTTTGTTAGGGAACATTTACCATCAAGAGGTTCCTGGTTCATCAAGCTTGGCTATAGGTAACAGAAAGACACAACTCAAGGAAGAGAGTTTTTATGGATGTCAACTTCTTTATTATGAGGAACACAAGGTATATGCTTACTCTTTCATCAGGTGAATGAATGGTATGACGCAGAGAGCATATATATAAATTAGGGGTGTCGCGATACGAATGTATCGATGCATCGCTACATTTTTACTGACGATACGATACGCGATACATGCTTGCGTGTATTGATTCCTATTTTAAAACTTTATCGATTCAAATTTTTATGCTATATCCATCTCCTTCAAAGTCTTGATGGTAAAATTATACGAGACCGCTCCGATAAATAGACGTTAGCTAGCTTTACTTGAAAATTAGGTTGGAAACTAACAGCTTTTGAGATTGGCTAGACTATTTTGATGGACCAATCAGCGAGCGCATATATTGCCGGTAAGGTAATGCTATGAAAAGGCTCGAAAATTATGTATCGCGATACGTATCGTATCGTGACCTTAAAATCGTTATACGTATCGTATCATGAGATTGGTGTATCGTGACACCCCTAATATAAATGTAAGAAGAACAAAAGTAAAAGGACAACAAAGATGAAGCTGAACAATGGAAGTCAACAGGTAACTGGCGTTGATGTGTGATTGGTAAAGGACAAAGGACACAACTTACTGACAACGTTCCCTGTGGCACATCCAGTGTAAACATACTGCTGACCAGTCGTGAACTGAGGCGAGAAGTGACATCGGATCAGCGTGTGAAGGACACCATGGCCCTTGTAGGTCATCAGTGAAGTATCACCCACCAGTCGATGACGCTTGCCCACTGAAAATAATAATGAGGATAATGATTGAGGAGGGGATTGCAATGGTCATCATCATCATCATCATCATCATCATCATCATCATCATCATCATCATCGTCGTCGTCATCATCATCATCATCATCATCATCATCATCATCATCATCACCATCACCATAGCATTAGACAATGGTAATAAAAAGTCTTCCAAAAAGGTAAGACTCTACAGTACTTGGTGGCATGAAAGCTCCCACAACATGACATTAACCATGTCAGAAAATTTTTTTAGTCAATCACAAAATATCAACTCCTTTGGGGCAACTCAACCCAATCAATTTTTCTCTTGGCAACTGTTATAAATAGATTCCTATATTAAACAGACATCACAGGCAGAATAACCTGTGCGACCGACCAGTCTGAAGCCAAATAAACTCACTCAGTCAATATGCGATAACACGGAAGCGACCATCAATCAGTACATATAACCCCTGGTACTTCAACCGAGAAGTTCGTTGTGGTTTTATGGATGCTCTAGTCACAAGTCTAGGGTAGATAATTCTCATTTGTTCTAATTCTTGCAAGCGACCATCAATCAGTATATATAACCCCTGGTACTTCAACCGAGAAGTTAGTTGTGGTTTTATGGATGCTCTAGTCCCAAGTCTAGGGTAGATAATTCTCATTTGTTCTAATTCTTGCAAGCGACCATCAATCAGTATATATAACCCCTGGTACTTCAACCGAGAAGTTAGTTGTGGTTTTATGGATGCTCTAGTCACAAGTCTAGGGTAGATAATTCTCATTTGTTCTAATTCTTGCAAGAGACCTTCAATCAGTATATATAACCCTGGTACTTCAACCCGAGAAGTTAGTTGTGGTTTTATGGATGCTCTAGTCCCAAGTCTAGGTAGATAATTCTCATTTGTTCTAATTCTTGCAAGCCACCATCAATCAGTATATATAACCCCTGGTACTTCAACCGAGAAGTTAGTTGTGGTTTTATGGATGCTCTAGTCTCAAATCTAGGGTAGATAATTCTCATTTGTTCTAATTCTTGCAAGCGTTGTGGTTTTACCATCAATCAGTATATATAACCCTGGTACTTTCAACCGAGAAGTTAGTTGTGGTTTTATGGATGCTCTAGTCCCAAGTCTAGGGTAGATAATTCTCATTTGTTCTAATTCTTGCAAGCTTACCATCAATCAGTATATATAACCCTGGTACTTCAACCGAGAAGTTAGTTGTGGTTTTATGGATGCTCTAGTCCCAAGTCTAGGGTAGATAATTCTCATTTGTTCTAATTCTTGCAAGAGACCTTCAATCAGTATATATAACCCCTGGTACTTCAACCGAGAAGTTCGTTGTGGTTTTATGGATGCTCTAGTCTCAAGTCTAGGGTAGATAATTCTCATTTGTTCTAATTCTTGCAAGCGACCATCAATCAGTATATATAACCCCTGGTACTTCAACCGAGAAGTTAGTTGTGGTTTTATGGATGCTCTAGTCCCAAGTCTACGGTAGATAATTCTCATTTGTTCTAATTCTTGCAAGCGACCATCAATCAGTATGAATAACCTCTGATATTTTCTCTACTTCTATTTGAAGTTAGTTGTAGGTTCACGGATGTACAGTCACAAGTCAAGGGGAGATAATTCTCATTTGTTTTAATCCAGTCTGGGCCCTGTTTCACAAAGCTCTCGCAAGCCTAAGATCTCGTAACTTTTCTCGTAGCATTCGCACCTCGTACACTGAAACATTTACTAACGATAGTCGTAGCGCTACAAGAGCTTTGTGAAACGGGGCCCAGAAGTCAAATCCACAGAATCCCCATTGCCTTTGTACTTACTCTTCCAGGGAACCTGTTGCCATCGGTAATCCCATCTCTGGTTGGAGACAGCTTTCTTCGTGGCCTGTACAACAAACAGGTGGCATGTCAAGGTGAAACAGAGTGTCAGAGATGCATTCCATTCTCATAGCCGCTTGTATTAGACCAGACACTTGTGACAGCTATATAGTACTAGTCCCCAGAGATACTTGAAACATTTTTTGTTTCATAAAATAATCAATCATCAGAAATATCATCAATGGGAAAATTATTGACGATTATCGATATGAAAATTGTGTTATCAATATGATACATTAACTTTTGTGATAGAAAAAAAGTTTTAATGTTTTCACACAATTTATAAATTTAGGACTTTATTTATGATCTGCTTCTAAAATTATGTTCAAGATGCTTTGATATTAATCAAAATGCAAAAACATGTCGCCACTCACCAGTGATGTGAAGTATATTGATGTCTTTCCAGCATTTGTTGCATTTTTGCTCAAAGTTATGTCTCCAATATTGATTGATAATCGATCGATACTTAGTTAACGATTATTGATCTCTACCATATATATCGATAGCCAGTTCTACATACTAGTATACATTTGTTATCAAATGTACCTGAAACAACGATATTGCAACATCATTCTAGAAGTATTGCACAGCAATATTGCACAGTCATACTCTTGGGAGACTATCATCCTTCTGCTATAAAACATGATGCAAACATGAACAGACACAAGTCGGTAGAATATCTTACTTCAATGCCATCCTTGTTTGAAAAGTGCCGCACGTCCCAGAGCTTGATTGTCTGGTCCTTGGAGTTGGACAACAGGAAACGGGCATCTCTCTGCAACACAGTGCAGCCCTCATCACCAACAACCCAGTGTGGTTACTGCTTTCAAATCATTATACACGAAAACAATGGAATAAAGTACAGATATTCCTCAATTTCATCATTAGAAATTCAGTACTGCAGTGCTACATATTAACTGGAAAGTCAAGCAGTCCTTGTCATAACAAAATGTATACATTATGATTTATTGGTCTCTGAATTTAAATGTTTGGAAAAACCTGACAGGTGTACCCCTATGTTGGCACTCCTCTAAGTTTAAATAGTGCATTGTATATACCATATGTGTCAATATTCTTAGCAAATAATTCTAACTTTTACACTGATATTTGAGGAAATGTAAAGAACAAAATTTACAATTGGAAAATGACTCTTGGAGCAGCCATGTTAAAGTGTCTGAATCCTGTGAGATACTTTAGAAACAACTGTGAGATACTTTTGAAACACTCCTGATGATCATACATGTTACAGTTTGGCCATTATCTTCATTGCTTTGAAAATGGAAACTATAACGACAGGTGTTCTCACATGCACTTTCACTCAGGTGTGCTAAACAGATAAGGTGAGCTACAACTCAAAGTGCAGATCCAGGATTTGGCAGAGGGAGTAATCATGTAAATATCATCAGTCTATACAGAGTGATCATAGTTCTTATAACTAGATGGATTAGGAGCTACTTGGATCCTCGAATGATATTCTCTTTCAGATGGTCTTCCGTGACATACTTTAGAATCAACATATGTGATGCCATCGTGATGTCCGGCCATCACACCAACAGGAAGTGGGTCCTCCTCTCGTAACGTCCGTCTGTCCCACACCTGCAGCATCAACACTTCCACCAATAAGATATCAGTTATAAAAAAATTCACAATTTCATTCAAAATGCACAAAAATCTGTACACAAAACAAAATTTTAACTATAAATGTATATTCATAATACTTATCCTAAGTCAAGTTACACACTTTCTCTTGTTCTTTGACTATGAAGTGAAACAACCTGGAACAAAGTTTTCAGCCTCTTCTAACACTTTGCCCAAACATGCCCCATCTCTTGTTGCAGGCAGTCAGAGTACACTCATGCGAGCCGTGCATCTTGCTCGCGTCAACCATGTGACTCCACCTGTCTCCCCGTAAACTGCATAGCTGGTGTGGTTGGTTTGTTGTGTAACGCCTAACTCAGCAATATTCCAGCTATATGGCGGCGGTCTGTAAATAACTGAGTCTGGACCAGACAATCCAGTGATCAACATCATGAGCATTGATCTAAGCTGTTGGGATACGATAACATGTGTCAACCAAGTCAGCGAGCCTGACCACCCGATGCTGTTAGTCGCCTCTTAATACAAGCATGGGTTACTGAAGAACAATTCTAACTCAGATCTTCATGGGTCGCATAGCTGGGATGGTTTGGCAGGATTTCAAACCCAGGTCCTCGGCGTGACAAGCAAATGCCTTAACCACTAGGCTACCCACCGCCTCCTCAAGAGCTGAACACAGGAGACGATGTAGTGCTCAGCTGGCTTGTTCAGTTCTTTGTACTTGCTGTGTCACATGATACCCATGATGATGATGATGATGATGATGATGATGATGATGATGATGATGGTGATGATGATGTCTATGGTGATGAAGAACTAGACCCCAAGAAAGATACAAATAACATATTCGGGACCAACTAGGTGTAGTTACTGTAATCATCATATACTTATAGCCTGGATCTGACCAAAATGAAATGAAACGAAAGACCAGATGTGACAAGACTGGAGCAGGTTGAGGAATACACACAGGCATTGCCGAAGTAGGAAGGATTTGCCAACTCCACAACGGAATAACTAGAGGGACGTCAAAAGTGAAACGGGTTACACTATATCAAAAGAATCTCTATATGAGACTAAGACTATATCTGCACCGTGGGTGCCAAGAAAGGGAATGAGTGAGTGAGTGAGTGAGTGAGTTTGGTTTTATGCCGCTTTTGCAATATTCCAGCAATATCACGGTTGGGGACATCATAAATGGGCTTCACACATTGTGCCCATGTGGGGAATCGAACCCCGGGTCGTCAGCGTGACGAGCGAACACCTCAACCACTAGTCTACCTCACCACCCCTGAAAGAGAATGAAGACAATTGGGAGTCACATGGTCGACCAGAGAAAGGCACGCTTTGCATCAGCTTACAGTGTGACTACAGTAGATGGCGCTGGCGTTTGTTCGTGCGAAGTGTTACAAGAGGCAGAAAACTTTGTTCCAGTCATTTTCACTCCATGGTCGGAAGAAACAGAAAAAACACATAAAGTGAGATAGGATAAGTCTTAAAATTTAACACTTACTTCACATTTAAACTAGTCATAATCACCGTTCTCTTAGATTCATATAAATGTTTTTGTGATGCCATCATTTTTCGATCAATGCGATGTGATGCAATCATGCAAGTTTTCGGGGGGTTCAAACCATCACTTCACAACAAAGGGACACAACTCTGTATAACAAATGCAGGATCTCAGACCGCAGGGCCACCATTGCTTGTCTCATAAAGCAGAGTTGTCTACCATCCATGCCCAGTATACATGTTTCACCGACTGAGTCACCATCTACCCACCTTCACAAGACCATCGTCGCCACCACTGAAGAGGATCTGCGAACTGTCATCAGCAAATGACACAGCATTGACATCATCATCATGAGCACTTATCTGGAAAATAAACATTAAACTGTTGAAACAAATCACAAAATGATAAAACCAAACTATACAAGAGTCTACATGATCTAGGGGAGATAACACATTGTTGTAGCAGCACATCACAGATCTGCACATATATGAAAGGAGTTCATAACAGTCAATATTTCTGAATTACCTACGACCTGATGGCACTATACTGATAAATGACAAGTCAGAACATCAACAGCTTGCATGAAAGCAGTTCATAACTAACCACAAATGAAAGGACTATCAATATTTCTGAATTACCTACGACCTGATGGCACTATACTAATAAATGACAAGTCAGAAAATCAACAGCTTGCATGAAAGCAGTTCATAACTAACCACAAATGAAAGGACTATCAATATTTCACAATTACCTATGGCCAGATGGCACTATACTGATAAATGACAAGTCAGACATCAATAGCTAGCTTAAATGCTCTGCTAAACTATAAACAGAAACTACAAACTGAAGAGTAATGATTTCATTGTCTGTTTGCTTTGGTCCGAAAAATTTACCAGTAGTCTGCTTAAAGAGACATAAAGGTTTTCATGCAGGAAGCATTATTTTTGTATATCTTACAACAACCAGTGACACTGTACCAGATTTGGCTAAACAATGATTATTCTGTAAGCATTTATGATAAAGAGAGTATTCCCCTCGTGTGTTCAGTGTTTTTAATATGTGTACGATAATACATGTATTATGTTTGACAAAATGACATAACAATCACAATTCACATACCCTCAATGTCCGCTGGTTGCTTTCTCGGTCATATACATACAAGTGACGATCATTGGCTCTGAAACAAATTGAGCCCATTTTAATTCTTATGCCACTGGAGCGCCTAATTGCAAGATGACAACAACAACAAAAATACAGAATGTGCCAAAATAAAAAAATGATATCAAATACATATTTGACTAAAGGATATGACACTTTCAGATACTAAGATATATCACTGAATTATCCCACACACACAGCCTATACAAGATAAGTTTGCTGGAACATCTTATGTTTGTAGGTGGTATTGAGTGTTCGATATAAAAACAAATGAAATTTGCAGAGTATCAATTGCAACCAAATTTCAATCGAAACAGCAATGAATTCCTACCCTCCTAATATCTCCCTGTTGTCCGACGAGAAAGTCAAGGAGAAAATACAGAAACTCTGATCGCCCGGCAACAGAGGCAATGCTTCATGAATATCATGATCACCATAGATGTTGCATAGATGAACTGAAACAAAAGACAAACATTTACTGAGTAAATACATAAATCAACAAAATGATAAACCTTATGGGGGAAATCATCCACAATAAAGATGATCCAGGGGAGATAACTACAAAAATAGTTTTTCTGAAACAATATTGCAACTCTATATTACCCATAACTCCTATATTTACACAGCTTCTAAGGAATTCACCAAAATAGGTTAATGTTCCATGATTTATGCATTTGCAGATAAACTCGCCAAACGACCCAGATAAGTGATCACATGTGGCATCAAATTCCATCTAATATAAAATTAAACGCATCTACGTAAGTTCAATTCAGTTATTTTCCAATTTATATTCTGTTCATTATTTTCAAAACTATTACAGCAAAAAGACACAATTCTGTATTTTTGTCAAGGAATAAATTAGTGCATCAATCCTCACAATGACCCATAGATATGTCATATTTCTATCAAAAGCATAAAGTATTTGTTCAAAAATTAAAAAGGTTCCAGTGAAGACTTTTGACAAAGACCTGTTATTATTCATGAACTAGAAACTGATGTGTTACTATAGGGAAATATTGCCATACATCAGAGATTATATCAGTATGTTATACACTCATGTGATGGTAAATTCTGCCAAATGCAGACATAAACAATGATAAATGTCAAAATATTTAAATGAGCAAAGTTTTATTCTTATTTGTCAAGTAAAGGTGTTGTGACAGACAGCTCCATCGCTGGACAGGTAGTTCACTGAGTTGCCTGTCTGTCTGGATTGTCTGTGTTAATTGTAAACCCTGGGCATGGTAGAATGTATTGTAGGTGTTGGGAGGAGTCTACTGATGTAGGTGAAGTACTCACTACAGTCAGACCAGCTGGAGTAGATGACATAGTTCCCGTCGGGACTGCAACACAACAACACACCCTTCAGATCTTCATGCTGACATATAAAGTCTAAAACTTGAAAGGCAGGAACTCAAAATGTGCATCAATTCTCATTGTCCATCAGGCATAACATGCTTCAACAGTGAATACTCAGCATTGTAGATCACGAATCCTACCTATCTCAATACAGTGTCCACCCTACCCACCTCAATACAGTGTCCACCCTACCCACCTCAATACAGTGTCCACCCTACCCACCTCAATACAGTGTCCACCCTACCCACCTCAATACAGTGTCCACCCTACCCACCTCAATACAGTGTCCACCCTACCCACCTCAATACAGTGTCCACCCTACTCCCACCTCAATACAGTGTCCACCCTACCCACCTCAGTGTCCATACCCACCCTCAATACAGTGTCCACCCTACCCACCTCAATACAGTGTCCACCCTACCCACCTCAATACAGTGTCCACCCTACCCACCTCAATACAGTGTCCACCCTACCCACCTCAATACAGTGTCCACCCTACCCACCTCAATACAGTGTCCACCCTACCCACCTCAATACAGTGTCCACCTTACTCCACCTCAATACAGTGTCCACCCTACCCACCTACAGTGTCCACCCTACCCACCTCAATACAGTGTGTCCACCCTCCCACCTCAATACAGTGTCCACCTCTACCCACCTCAATACAGTGTCCACCCTACCCACCTCAATACAGTGTCCACCCTACCCACCTCAATACCCACCCTACCTCAATACAGTGTCCACCCTACCTCCTAATACAGTGTCACCTCAATACAGTGTCCACCCTACCCACCTCAATACAGTGTCCACCCTACCCACCTCAATACAGTGTCCACCCTACCCACCTCAATACAGTGTCCACCCTACCCACCTCAATACAGTGTCCACCCTACCCACCTCCACTTCAATACCTCAATACAGTGTCCACCCTACCCACCTCAATACAGTGTCCACCCTACCCACCCTCAATACAGTGTGTCCACCCTACCCACCTACCTCAATACAGTGTCCACCCTACCCACCTCAATACAGTGTCCACCCACCTCAATACCCACCTCAATACAGTGTCCACCCTACCCACCTCAATACAGTGTCCACCCTACCCACCTCAATACAGTGTCCACCCTACCCACCTCAATACAGTGTCCACCCTACCCACCTCAATACAGTGTCCACCCTACCCACCTCAATACAGTGTCCACCCTACCCACCTCAATACAGTGTCCACCCTACCCACCTCAATACAGTGTCCACCCTACCTCAATACAGTGTCCACCTCTACAGTCCACCCTACCCATCTCAATACAGTGTCCACCCACCTCAATACAGTGTCCACCCTACCCACCTCAATACAGTGTCCACCACCCACCTCAATACAGTGTCCACCTACTCCATCTTAATACAGTGTCCACCCTACAATACTCCACCCTACCCACCTCAATACAGTGTCCACCCTACAGTGTCCAGTGTCCACCTTTACCCACCTCAATACAGTGTCCACCCTACCCACCTCAATACAGTGTCCACCCTACCCACCTCAATACAGTGTCCACCCTACCCACCTCAATACAGTGTCCACCCTACCCACCTCAATACAGTGTCCACCCTACCCACCTCAATACAGTGTCCACCCTACCCACCTCAATACAGTGTCCACCCTACCCACCTCAATACAGTGTCCACCTTACCCACCTCAATACTGTGTCCTGGTGACCCTACCCACTTCAATACAGTGTCCACCCTACCCACCTCATTACAGTGTTCACCCTACCCACCTCAATACAGTGTCCACCCTACCCACCTCAATACAGTGTCCACCCTACCCACCTCAATACAGTGTCCACCCTACCCACCTGAAAGCAGTGTCCAGCACACTCCAGCCTACATCCCGTGCACGGATCGTCTTCAACAGTCTAAAATCATCGTTGGTGGTGTCGTAGATTCGTACATGCTGATCTGAATGTGAACATGACAGATATTATTTTTACTATTCCAATAACCACTAAACACAACTACATGAATATCTTCACTGGTAATGGTCTGAAGCAATTATCAGTAAAAATAAACTAAAATTGCTAAATAATGTTATTATAGTAATAACTAGGCTTGTGTGTTATTAACAGTTCCTGTGAGTGTGTTGTGCGCAAAGAGATTTTCACAATATGTGTGGATCACCACAGGGGTTTCAGTAAAGGTCATGTATCGCATTTAGACTTATTGAGAATAACTGAGAATTCTGACACCCAATTTGGGAGGAATAACCAATTTAACATCACATCTCCAATGGCATCATGAACTTAAGCAGTAAAACTGTTATGAAGCAGAAGTTGTAATACATTACAATTTAATACATCTTCCAACATGTAATGCCCCGTCCTTTGTCATGAACTTGTGTCATGGCTTTGCAGGGGTGACTTGCATTTGACTGACAACAAGACCAACATATGAAAACAGGTATAATTTTAGGGAAGAGAGTTCTTATTGATGTCAACTTCTTTCTTATGAGGAACACAACATATATCTTTACTCCTTCATCACGGGAATGAATGGTATGAGGCAGAGCGCATATATATTTACATGTAAGATCACACATCAATGCGAGTTAACTGTTGGCTTCCAATGTTTAGCCTGCATCTTCTTACATGTACATACAAATGGTCTCTTTCTCATACCATTCATTCACGTGATGAAGGAGTAAGGATGTACTCCAAAATGTTATGTTCCTTATAATAAAGAAGTTGACATCAATAAAACCTCTCTACTTTGTGTGTATCACTTCTAAATGCCATTCAAAGTCCAGATATAGATTTACATTTTTACATGGAATGCAATATCAAAATACCCCAAATATGAAAATATACAAATTACTAATTAATTAATATACAAATTAGGTTTTCCCATTTTGTCTGGCAAGATTATTAAGGTTGGAATCCTTGATTCACTGATCTCAAACAAAATTCACATCAACAGAAATATTTGTCTCCTAATTTCAGCAAATATAATTGTATAGCCCCAAGAGGTGACTAAAAACATATCTGTCTGACAGAAATCCGAAGTCATCTCTTAACCCTCCCACCCAACATTGAATAATGGCTACTTGTGTCCAGCATGCATTATGCTGGCTAACAGGAAACTCACCCTGTGCAGCAGACAAGAAAATGTTTCCTTCCTTGGAGAAGGCGCCACAGAATGCCTTGTGGTGATAGGAAGCCAACTTGGTGAAGTTATTTGGGAGGAATCTGTAATGAACATCACCAGACACATTACCTCTGGGAAGCCGCCATTTTGTAAGGGCAAGAAGCATACTAGTATTCCTCAACCATACATGGAAATCATTTGAATCACAGGTATTACCTGAATCAGGTCCTGATGGTCAGATGCATGCTCCTCTTGTAAGGACTGGGTTATGTTATTGTTGTCATTCAAGAAATAAACAATGAGGAGGAGTTGTTTGTTGAACTTCAAGACACTCCAGGCAGTATAAACCACTTGGTGAAGGATGAGGACTATTTTTATAGATATACAACTTCTTTATTCTGTATAGGCGACGTTTCGACACAGATTCTAATGTCATTGTCAAGCAAGTGACACTTGCTTGACGACATTAGTGACACTTGCTTGACAACAACATTAGAACCTATGTCGAAACGTCGCCTATACAGAATAAAGAAGTTGTATATCCATAAAAATAGTCCTCATCCTTCATCTACCCAACTTCTAGAATGCCAATCAAAGAAGTAAACCACTTAGTACAGGATACACAGAGATCACGGTCATATATTTCTGATTTGAGATATCAGCCTTATTAACAGCCCCTATAAGAATGTTATTAAAAATTACAAGCTTTAAAAAAACTGAACCATATTGATATATTTATAATGATGACGCCCTGAGTACAGTTCAATCTTGGCAACATTGGACTAGTCCTCTTTATGAATAGGGGTGTTCAGTTTGGTGTTTCCTGAATATGCTTACAAACATCAACACTAATGATGGCATAATCTGCACCTTGTCCCCCATACAGAGTTTCATATCCTGACAGTCTGTTTATGTGATTGTTGGCATATGTTTCTATTCACATTGCCAAGCTACACCTCAGGGGAACAACTCACTACCCGCTCAAACACAGCTTCATCAAATTTATGATGTCATCACGCTACAGGCACATGTTACAATCTTACAAAGTGATGTCATGACACAACAATGTTTACTTGGAAAATTCACAATGACTTTTTCTTCATTTTTGGGGGTTAATGAATGCTAAACATAATATCCATATGGCATAGATTGTGATTTTCTTTAAACAATCAATTTATGGACATTCTGTGCATGAATGGACTGATATTTTGAAAGATATAATTCAACTGTGCAAAAGTCAAATAGGTTTATAAGGACAGATGGAGTACCTAACAAAGTATAAATTTCCAAAATATTCCATGAATCTTCAATTAGATGGGAGAGATTTCATGTCCCTGATCTGTTGTACTTGACTTGAAGATACTTTCCACACAACTTATTTTAGTAATAAACAACTCAAAAGAAATCAATACAAGAAATAATTTAATCCTTTAATGTGCCATTACCAAAACCTATTTTAACATATTTCTGTATTTCATAATTTAACATTTAATAATGATTTTACAAAACTAAAAAAAAACCTATTTCATGAAAATATTTCTCATCCCCATCATTTAGTAAAATTTCTGTTAAAGAGGAGCTATTACTGTTTCATTCATAAAAAGTCAAACTGATTGTAAAGCAGACTTCATAAACATAACACAGTATCACTGCACTTGAAGTATTATCTGTAAATGATTTGGCATGGAGACAGATAATTATATATTCCTGGCATCTCTCTAGATACAAACTAACCCTACCTGTTGTTGATGACACAACAATCTCCAGGTGTAAACTGCTGCTGTCTGTTCATCCCAATCTCACGCTGAAACACAGATGATACCAAAGATGAACATGTGAAAAACAATTGACAGTAATTTAAGATTGTTACACGTTCATTAAGCTAATCTCTCTTACTGTATTGCATGCATTTAGGGGAGGGAGCAATATTAGTTCTTTCGTTGGAATAAAAAACAATTTTTTAGACTTCATTTTCAGAAAAATGGATCGTCACACAATATAAACCATTGATTAAAAACAGCGTGGTCTCAAAACATGAGTGAGGGGGTGAAAATGGGTGTCTTTCATCATGACACAACCCACCTGTTTGAGAAGGTGTGTTACTGTCGTATTGTAAGGGGGGAGTTTCCTCATCGTTCGTCCGGACTGACGCATCACGATACTCTGAATGTCGTTGGTCTTTAAAACAGAGCAGAAACTTTTACTAAGTGTGATTACACAATGCCAGTTAGAAAGTGGTCAAATGCAACATATGGTATATTTGGGATTACACTTTCTTAGTAAAGTACAAATTCTAGTACATTTTTGGGTTGGGTCCCATCCGGTATTCGAACCCACACCCTCAGAGTCAGGCACCAAATTGCCAGCACACAAAGTCAGCCACCTAACCCGCTCAGCCACCGCAACTTTTACTAAGGGATATAACTTGTCCACATCATTTCAAGCATTGTCTACTGACTGACTGACTGACTGAGTATGGTTTTACGCCGCTTTTAGCAATATTCCAGCAACATCACGGCAGGGGACACCAGAAATGGGCTTCACACATTGTACCCATGTGGGGATTCGAACCCGGGTCTTCGACGTGACAAGCCAACGCTTTAACCACTAGGCTACCCCACCACCCCATTGTCTACTGACACAAAGTGGTTAGTGAGTATAGTTTTGTGCTGTTTTTAGCAATATTCCAGCAATATCACGGTGGGGGACACCAGAAATGGACTTCACACATTGTACTCATGCAGGAATCAAACCCGGGTCTTCGGCGAGACCACTGGGCTACCCCACTACCCACAAATAAGCAAAACTGTATTTACGTTAAATCTAAAGATGTTAATATGTGTGGTATTTGTTGAATATTTGTAACAAATACATTGGTGACATAACATAGCCATCTTCACCTAACAGATGCATGTCATCGGTTCCCAATTACGCAGATCGATGCTCATGCTCTTGATCACTGGACTGTCTGGTCCAGACTCGATTATTTACAGACTGTCACCATATAGCTGGAATATTGCTGAGTGCGGCATTAAACAACCAGCCAACCAACCAAATCCAGGTCAATATACAGCCCTACTATTGACGGACACTGTCAGGTCAGCTGTATAATATCAGTGGTAAACATACATCACATTCTACAGTTTGATAAGATAAATACACCTACTTCTATGCTGGTGGTGTCTGGGTTGGGGTCTTCTGCAAAGAAAATCACAATACTGTCTTACTGTCTCTGAACAGATAAGGAATTGCGTAATACCGGTTACTACAAACACTGAAATCTACAAATGTATGGGATGGTAAATATGAACTTGTTCAAAATGTTTTGAAATATAGGGAATGCCAAACAAGAAACCCATTTAACAATGTCAGTAATAAGTGAGAAGAAAATGAAATTTGATTTTTACCAAAACTAAAAATCTCAAATCATTTTGAAAATAAGGCACAAGCCAAAGTGTTTATGCAACATGAATAAAACATGAGCCCTTCCACGTGTTCAACTTTGCATCCTAAACCTATATCAAGCTGAATAAAAACAAATTTCAGTCAACATTTACATGGCCTGAATCCCACACTAAGCAGTTTGCACACTGATAAGGAGAATAGGGTCATATTTTCTATTTCAAGCTAATTGGGTGAAATGTCACAGTTAGAAATCATGTTGCCAGTTGAAGTATCCTAGTCAGTAGGTGTGTGTCAAACACTGCCTGCTAATAAGAGCGAGGTGTGACTTCCTGTGAATAATATATACTTCTTGGAACACATGGAAGGTCTTGATGAGCAAAACGACTTAGAAATAATGACATTTTTGTGTTCTGAACATACTGTCATGTGATCAAACTTCCTGAGTCCAGTGTTCAGAGGTCAGAGCGCTGAACACGTAGTATGTTCCGCTTACTGTGGTTTTGCAAGTGGGATACAAATAGTCAGTTTATTCATTCTGAACTTTTCAGGGGGTTCATTGCGTCTATCTGGCTCAAACTGCATCTTTGCAGCTGAATATGTTAAATATTTGTACAAAAAAAACACCATTTATTTTCTATTTACAAGACATCTTCTGGGAAAGAAACCTTTCATCTTATTCCACTACACCACAGGACCAGTGAGTGGACAATAATTAGTGGTCCTGTCTGTACTTCACTGGTCTAAAATAACATTCGTAGATTTACTTAACTATCAATACAAAATTCACTGGCCACCAGGACCACTGCAAACTTATCATTTAGTGGTCCTGATGATTTTTACTAGCCAGGGACCACAGGACCAGCGTAAATTTCACACACTGCATCTTTGATTTGCCTACATACCATCTGGAGGTCTGGATGAATCCATATACTCGAGGTCGGAGGACGAATCGTCATCTGAGGTGGCCCCGTCTGCTGTCAGGATGCGGATCTGTCCACTGTCGGGGAAACAAGACTGAGTGATATACATGAGCCCTCAAACACATCCAACACGACTCTCCAGTCAGTCTTCATGCTCACATCAGACTGGTTCTGACTTCATCCTATAATCATTAGTTAACCAGAGGTACAGATAAGCTGCGTATCTGGGTAAATCACGCAAATATTTATGCGAAAACTCAATTCCTATTACGTCTATTGCATACAAGTACGCTTGAATTTTTGTAAATACACAATACATTTGATCTTACATGTGTACACACAAAAATAGATAAATAACTTAGGTATACTGAGAGGTTCTATTTCAGAACATGAACTTAGCAACTTGCAGTCTTTCTTATCGTTTCTCATATTACAGATCAAATATAAATAACAATCACGTAAACCAACATTTAAACGTCATTATATTTCATAGTTCCAATTAATGTAAAATGGCAAAATACAGAATTGTGTTTGAGTAAGGTGGGTACAATTTATTTGGTTGCCCGGTAATCAAAGGAAAATTAGGATACCCAATTGAGATGAACACAAGCGTGTACATAACTCAATGACCCAGAAAGTTATCTGTAGCTCTGGTTAACAATGATGGCATGTCATTTAGTTAAATTAGCTATTTTACTATTTTACTGTAAAACATACCATTCATGTCTAGATTAAATATCATTTCGAAAATTAGGGGTAGCCAAGTGGTTAAAGCATTCAGGCTTCCCTGTGGGTGCCGGTACAGCGTGTGAAATCCATTTCTGGTGTCCCCTCCGGGATATGTGTTGTCATGGTTACTAGGCCTATGTAGAACCAGCATGTACAGTTAGGGAGCCAGACAGGAAGGATAACAATATATGGATGAACAACTTCTTTATTACAGTGACAGCGACATTTCTTCTGTGTAGGTTCTAACATTGTTATCAAGCAAGTTTCTTCCATTTAAAATGTTTATTCCATTCAAGTGAGAGATAGACAATGATTTGGATGGAACCAGACATACAAACCATAGCTGTTGCTCTATACCCCATGGTAACCTTTTTGAAGATGCTGGACTAGAAAATACTTTCCAACTGTCACCTTCCTTAACCTGCTGATTGGTCAGATGAAAAATCATGTGACCCATAATGGAGCATCCTCAGATCGTTGTTTAGTAGCAGAGAGAATTAAGGGCTGATTTTAATGAGATTGTGTAAATCATGAAATCAATGTTAGAGTCAACCCCTGGGCTAAAATGTGTCATGAAGACAATAACACCAAAACTGAGCTTTAGATTTCAGTGATAAACTTTGAGACAATAGCAATTCGACTGAACAGTTTCACCACAAACTTCAGTTTCTTTACATGAGAACTTCCTTGGAATCAGGAAATACAAGATAAGACATGTTCAAATGGGATACTCACTCTGAGGTCAGGTCACCATCAAAGATTGTACATATGAAGAGTTCACTACAAGATGAGCAGTGTCATGTGCAATCACAAGTGTTATGGTCTTATGCCACACTTTAAGCAACAGTCCAGCTAAATCACATCTGGATTCACCAGATGGTATTCACACATTGTACCAATCATGGAATGAAACCCAGGTCTTCAGCGTGATGAGCAAACGCTTTAACCACCAAGCTACCACTGCCCCATAATCACCATAACCAGGATAACAGCTGTTACTGTATTGGACATGTTCACTGTGTGGTTGAGGAGTATTTGCATATAATTCTAAGGTTATCACACAAAGTTGCCTAGGACAGAGAAACCATCACACACGCTTGGTCAGAAATGCGTGAACTTATCTAAATGAGTGAGTGAGTGAGTGAGTGAGTGAGTGAATATAATTTTATGCCACTTTTAGCAATATTTCAGCAATATCACGGCGGTGGACACCAGAAATGGGCTTCACACATTTTACCTATGTGGGGAATCGAACCCAAGTATTCTGCATGAAAAGCGAACGCTTTAACCACTAGGCTACCCCACCGCCTCATTAAATGAACTCCATCACACTTGACACTGAATTCGATGAGAAGCATTAAATCAGTGTATGAAATACCAGGTAAGCCAACATCTCAGCCAGACATCAGGGCTTTAAAATGATCTTGTGAATTTACTCAGATGTAAGGAACATCTAAAAAATTAACTAGAACATCGGGTTGGCAAGCCGTAAATTTAGACTTCCCGTCAGAAATCTAGCCAGTCTCGGGCAGTCGGACGGGCATTATTTCATACACTGATTAAATCTAGCACAAGGATTGAAGTTGAGGAAACAAAACCTACTTGCATCCAGTGTACCTGCTGCTCAATATGAAATCACATATAATGCTTGAGTTTGGGCATTGATAATTGAGGACATTATTATAACAGTGGGAGTGAATTCAGTTTTACGCCGCTTTCAGCAATATTCCAGCAATATCATGGCAGTGGACACCAGAAATGGGCTTCACACATTGTACCCACGTGGGGAATCGAAACCGGGTCTTCAGCGTGACGAGCTAACGCTTGAAGCAGTTGGCTACCCCACTGCCCCATTATAAAAGAATTATTATTATTATCCTATGTAATATAATGTCATGACATGCAGTCAATCAGTCACAGCTCCAACACCTAGTTAATCCTTCTGTTTTCCAGGTGAAGTCAAGGTTTTCCAGGCATTGAGTGCAAGTTGGTACACATATAAGGTTGCAGTTTCATGCTGCACAAGTTCTAAATGGCCCTGCAGACTGTCATGTTTTATTGTGAGTTTGTTGTAAAGTGTTATTTTTCTGCAAATATGCAGTGAATCGGACACAGGAATAAATTCCAATATGTCCAGAAAAAATGATCAACTGATCAGCAGATTTGCATTTTTTAATTTACTGATTGCAAGACCTAGGTGGTTGGTCTAGAAAGTGGCCATGGATTCATTCAGTATCATATTTGATGACAAATGATCCAGGTTACACTTGGTCTTCAGTAACCCATACTTGTCGTAAGAGGCAACTAATGGGATCGGGTGGTCAGGCTCGCTTGGTTGACACATGTCATCATATCCCAATTGCATAGATCGATGCTCATGCTGTTGATCACTGGATTGTCTTGTCCAGACTCGATTTTTTACAGACTGGTGCCATATAGCTGGAATATTGCTGAGTGCGGCGTAAAACTAAACTCATTCCCTCACTTATGACAAATGTAAGTAACATTGGAAAAAAATACAACAAAAAAGTGTCTTGTAGGAATTCAAAGCTGCAAACTTCCTGCTTGATAACTCAACGTATATCATGTAAGAAAGTAATGTACAAACACATGCCTAAATTTAAAACATAAACTATCACTAAACAATACCAAAAGGATGAGGAAGTGAAGTTTTGTGCGTGATTTTAACTTAAGATATACACATAACCCCCAAAAAGCTAATAACTACATTTATTATGTCACAATACTACAAAAGCACATTCTACAGATATAACAAGCAGACCATAGATAAGTCTAGACAAGCTCCAACCAATGACTGACAGCAACAGCGATGATTAAGGGCTCTGTTCCAGAAAGCTACTGAAGCTTAACGACAGCCATAACGAAAGTATGGGGATTACGAACAGTTCAACTCTATGATGGCTATATGAAACGGAACTCAGGTTCACGTACACGAGAGCACACGATCAGCCAGACCCTCAATTCACAAATACTCTGCCCAACTAAAAAATAATAGTGAAATCTCATCCTGGTTGGTGCAATACAGACTTATGCACTTACCTGAACACACCAGTACAACTGTAGTGGTTAAATTCAACCAGTTAGTAGCAAGTAATGATTATAAACTGTCAATTATATGCAAATTATGTTGACTTGTTACTTTTTTCACTTAATTTGAAATACAATGTGCAGAAAAATGTGAAGCAAAAATGTGAAAACATGCAAAATAAATTCAAATAAATTTAAGCCATGCAAATTGGAGCATGTCATACGAAAACCTACATGTGATGACAGTGATAATTCATGCACTTAGACATTGGTTTTTAAACCCGGCCGGGAATTTTTCTACTTTACTGCAGAATATTGGTTAGTGTCTAGGTTTGCTTGTATATTGTTTAACGCCTCATTCAGCAATATTCCAGCTATATGGCGGCAATCTGTCAATAATCAGGTCTGGACCAGACAATCCAGTGATCAACAGCACAAGTATCAATCTACACAATTGGGAATCGATGACATGTATCAAACAAGTCAGCGCGCCTGACCACCTGATCCCGTTAGTCGTCTCTTATAACAAAGTAGAAACTTTGAGCAAATATGAAAATACATCTGAAAGATATCAACATATTTAACAGAATCACATTGCTAGTGACACATTTAAGCAAGGAATTCTAACAAAAACAGCTTTTTAACATAATTTAGATGTAGTCTATGAGTAACGGCGTATCTTAGTGTATTGAATTCAGTAAATTGAATTATTATTTCATCACAATAATTTGTGTTAGATATTATCGACAATGCGAAGTTCACAGTAAAAATTGGTAATAATTCATCACATTCTTGATATTTCTGGTTCTGATCATTTCAGTCAGCCCTATATTTTATCTAGCAGTTAAAGCTAACACTAATTACAAACTGACAATGCCATAGCTTGAAGCAACTAACTGATTACTTTCAATCTAGTTCCAAAATAAACGCCAGCATCATCGGCCATACTTTCTTTGAATTAAGTTTACAATTCTGATGAATATTAAACATATATCCATAAACATTATATGCGAAAAAATACAAATATATGAAAAGTGATGCTATAAACATGATAAATATTCCACTGAACAGAAATAAGTAAAATGGGTTTTTTTAAATTGATTGTCATTAAAAATACAATCAAAACATCTTTTAAAATATCATTAAGAACTGTTGAAGATGTGTTTCTAAAATCTTCAAAACACAATAAATTATTGCAAATCGCGACAGATCAAATAACATAGATTCTTGAATGTATTGCTGCATTATATGGGGACTTGACCCTATTTGACCGCACTCTGTTATCCTGCATGATGGCAGAACTTGAAATTAATATAAGAGATGTTATTTGGATGAAATGACTGTGGAGGTACTTGTGAAGAGCAGGATGTGAGTTTCATCTCTGATAAGCAAGCACAAGGCTGTAACTGCTGCCAAGCAACAACTTTTGCCATTTAATGCATGTTGCAGCGACTATTGTTGCTAAGCAACCTGTGTTGTGATATACACAGCTAGCACTGCCATGCAAGTACTATTGCCTGATAATGAGCACAACTACTATTGTTGCCATGCTGACCATCTACTTAAACAGACACTAAGCCATCAGCTGTAAAGCTGAACGGATAAAACAGGCTCCTGGGCCTAGATTTCCGAAACTCTCTTAGCGCTAAGATAGTCATAAGTGCCATACATTAACATTAACTTACGACTATCTTAGCGCTAAGAGAGCTTCGAAAATCTAGGCCTTGCTCTCTAACAGCTACCCTATCCTATATGAATTACAACTTCGGGTGTGTCCCAAGATACAAGACTAACGCTTAGTCCCTGAATATATATAATTTTGAAACTAACAAATAAACCCATTTAAATTGAAAAGGAGACCCAGTCAGTTGGGAACCTGGGAAATCTAGACTTGATTCATTTAGGGCTTTAGCACTGCAGGGAGGGCTAGGCAGTAGAGAAAAAATGTGGCTCAGGGACTGACAGACAGACTACCATAGATGCCAAACGAAACTTGTATTAAGTTGTAATGCAGTCTACCAGTACTCAGCCTGTCCGCAACATTCACGAAGACTTATTTATGGAAAACTTCAGCCATATTGACAAAAGCTAAGCTTGTATACATATTTTTCTAAATAGCATGGTGGGTGGGCCTGTGTAAAGAAACAGCAGATGAATGTGAAAGATAGTAAAATACATGTCGTTACAATAAATGATGGAGGGTAAGCACAGAGACGTGTTGACATTAAATCACACGATGACACAGAAAATATGTCATACATACAGGCCAGTCGTTGCAAAAGCAAATTTAGGCTAGAGATGATGGAATTACATAGACAACTCTGGTGGCACACATGAGATGAAGGTATTTAGCTGTAATAATTAACAACTGATAATTAAATTTCTGATGTAAAGGCTTTTACTTCAGAAAAGTCAGGGTGGTGGGGTAGCCTAGTGGTTAAAGGTGTTCGCTTGTCAAGCCGAAATGAGTGAGTGAGTATGGTTTTACGCCGCTTTTAGCAATATTCCAGCGATACCCCAGCCAGGACACCAGAAATGGTCTTCCCACATTGTACCCATGTGGGGAATTGAACCCGGGTCTGGGACGTGATGAGCGGATGCTTTAACCACTGCCCCATCAAGCCGAAGACCCGGGAAACTTGGGTGCATAAACATGCATAAACATCTAGCATAAGCAAGCAGCATTCTAAAAAGAACCAAAAACTATCATGCATGAGTTTGTTTATCTACACATTAAAACTCAAATTTATTTGCACATGTGAAAACAAATTCACATGTTACTTTATACAATATGCTGTAATATGATGACCTCACCAACTGATCTTATCCTAAGTTATTTTCAATTAATACATCCAAGATGTGTTAGAATACTCATAAACTATAGTTAAAATGCATGTGTTTATTGAGATCTGATCAGAGGACAATATTTGGCCCTATTGAAAGTGTCATAGAAAAATTACCAAATCAAAAAAATATTTCCCAATTGAGATCTGGACAATGTTTGACCCAAAGTGTGTCATAGAAAATTACCAAAATAAAAACTATTTCCCCCCATTGAGATCTCATCTGAGGACAATATTTGGCCCTACATGTGTCAAAGAAAATTACTAAAATATAAAATATTTCCCCAATTGATATTAACATAAACAACAAATAGCTTTCCAGAAATATCCTGCATGATAACAGGTCAAATGATAAGTAAATGCAATGCATATCTTATTGCATTGAATGCACAATCAAAATACAATGCTATAATAGACCTTCCTTTGAATTATTTTAAAACAAAAGAATTTTAAATAATCCGAGTGAACAAAATAACATATTTTTGTCAGTCTGTCCACAAGGAGAATTGTTGAGAAATGTGGATAAATCTCTGTAATGACATTCTATACTGGCATTCATTCAAACAACACATGCAAACACTGAATACGCTTTGTTTACTCTCCAAGGAACATCTTTCAATGTCTTGTCAATATTTGCAGTCTCCAAGTATTCCAAACAGCTAATCAGGAATTATGCCTAGTCATTCACAAGTCCTATTAGCCCAGTTATAAACCCATGTGACATGATTAAAGGACATTGCTCATCGCTGCTAGCCTTATGCAGGCTATATTGGCTGAAATATGCCTACAATTCAACATGTCTATAATGCATTCCCTAAAGGAACTGCTGTCATAATTGTTCATCATCCTTGTGCAGTTCATCAAACTGATGGGACATATGTTGTGCAATTTGCTTACATATCTATATAGGTCACTGGGTCTACTTGTGAAACTGAGACATAAAAGTTGCAGAATCACTCTACAGGTATTGAGCTAAATAGTAAATATGTCTAATTCTGAGCTATGTATTTATACACATATATCAACAATACCAATGCATTACAGTTATTGAAACTCTTATCACCTTGATGGCAAAAAACGTCAACACCATGACATAAACACTTTGCTCAATCAAAATGGAGGTCACTGTGACATAATATGTTATCATAAAACATGTGGTAAGCTGTGGCAACTTGACAGGTCAAAGGTTAAATTAACATTCGTGCAAAATAACACATAATGCCAACCACGGTGGATAAACATATCCCGCCCCCAGAGAACACCCCTAGCCAGGTGCCTGATCCCTGGCCTGGGGGTATGAACATTTCCTACCTGCGGATGAGGTGGGCAAGGATCGCACGGAGGTCCGTGTCCCCCTCGTCACCCCCGTCCGAATCGCCGGTCCCACGGGCAACACGGGAACCACCACTGCTCATTCTCCTCGAGTTGCTGGACCCCATGAAGTGTTCATTGGGAAGTTTCTTCCGTCTCGAAATGACTAATCGAAATTTCTCTCAGCAAGTGTCAGATTCTGTACGAGAATACCTGAGCCCAGTTACCGCCAGATTCCAAAGCGTATAGTTTTTCGAAACATCAGAACACAATTGCAACGTCGATATCGTCCTCGTATGCATATAGTGATTATCGCCTCCTCTCCGGTTGTAAATGATGTCGAAGTGATGATGGAGGTATGTTTACGTAAATAAGCGAACTTACAACAAAGGGAAGATAACTTTTATTGACGTGATGACGAAAAATAGAGTAACCTCCCGTTAACCCACACGCGGAGGGACTTGTCAAACGGGGTTTGTACATGATCGCCTCGTTATATAGCGATTACGTAATATAGGGCATGTGTTGAGTGTGTGTGTGTGCGTGCGTGCGTGCGTGCGTGCGACTAATAATGGTGTCATAGTTCATGTATATATTGTGCCGCTTTCCGACATGCGAGTTTCCGTGTCGACAAGTCATTTTTATATCTGTTACTTCACATGAAGACAATATAGTTGAGTGAGTGAGTGAATATCGGATCAGCAATTTCGCGGCTGTTCGTGGCGAGCATATAGTTGAGACATATAAAGGCCCAAATGGTTTAATTATATGAAGGTATTTAAGGCACAGAAAATTATGTTTAAAGGTTCCCAAATACCCCAGGACATAATATTATATTATATTGTTGTGTCCGGAAAAAGCAACGACTTGAAAAGTCATTGAATTTCTTTTCACAAAAATGTGGGAATCCTGATAATGAGATCTGCCTATTCGTCGATGATGCTCCGCATTCATGCATATTCATGCACGTTCGTCTTTGTAACACAGTATGTCATGTTGACATACATATTCTCAGGTGGCTATGGGTTCCAGATTCATGGTATATGATTAATGAACTTTTACTCTGAAAAAAGTGTAGCACAACTCCTTTTTATCCATATTCATTTTAATGCATGTACTGTGGACACCTGTTGAAAAGTTAGTAAAAGAACACTGCATCTGGCTCACGACAGTCACCCCAGCGGGCACACAACGTTGAATCAACGTTGAATCAACGTTGAATTTTGGTTGTTTGGTTGATCAACCTTTCATAAACGTTGATTCAACGTTTATCATGCGACCAAAGAAGGTTAGTCCAGATTCGTTTAGTTGTCAACGTTGTTTCAACGTAAAGGAACCAACAAAATGTTATAAAGTCATCAGTTATCCGAATTGCATTACATTTGATATTTTCCCACAAAATTGTATAATTCCCGACAATTTGTTTTCAAGGTGAGGTGAAATTGGGTTTAACGTCGTGCTTGAGACTATTTCGCTCATATGACGACGTGCATGCGTGTGTATGTGTATGTGCGGCTGCTTGTACTAGCCCAGACTTAAGCTGGTTTTATAGTGCTAGCCCAGTGAGATACCATGCCGCAGTGAAGCATGAATACCCCACTCAGACACATTATACTGACTCCGAGTCGACCAGTCCTTGTTGTAGCCATTAATGCTGAGCCGAGCGCCAACAAGTACCATATTTTAACGTCTTTTGGTATGACGCGGTAGGGGATCGAACCTGCGACCTTCCGCTCTCCGGGCGGAATTTGCTTTCAAACACATGCCAGATCGCCTCGTTTGGCCATATCCGGACATGCGCACAATTATCGCGCGCGCAAAGGCAGCTGAACGTTGTCAGTTTACTTTGGGTAGCGACCGCAGTTCCCGGTAGGGGCGCTGGTGTAGCTATTTTTAGAAAATGGCCAGAACTTGGTTCACCGACCCCGTCGCGTTTAAGGCTTAATTACACCTATTTCTTTGACGAATTCCGCGCGGTTTTTTTTACATATGAGAAGTACAAACCTTCGAATTGGCGTATTTCGCACAACTGTATATCCTCGACGAGAAAACGATTAAATATGAGGTAAGTGAAATTTCAGACATCTGCCAAATACCTTAAAATCAACAAAGTCAATAAAATACGGGTAAATACGCTTAATATACATCTAATAGAAGTTAAAAAATATTTTTGTGTATTTTTGTTCAATCATCAAAGTGACGAAAAAAAGGCTTGAAGTTTTCAGTCGGGCAGTTGTTTAGAGTTACCTCCCCTGTTATCTGACGTCACAAATTCCCAGGCACTTCCAAAGATCGATTCCGCAGAGGGTAAAAAAAGGTATTTTTAATCAAAATCATCATTATGAAACCTTATATTCTCGTTGATATCGCCATCTATCTATTTTCTGATACTTTAAGCATCATATTAAAGCATCCAAATTTGAAGAAAATGCGGAAATTGTATATTAAGAGAGTTTAAAAGTTTTTGCTTGTTAGTAACTAATTATCATAATTTATGCTGCTTTTGCAAAAATGAAAACACTTTTCTGCTTCTTAAAAAGGCTTTAAATGAGAACAGAATGTGATTGAGCAAGTAATTTAACCTGTCAGGAACTTACCATCTGTATGGAAATAGAGTATAATTATTTTAGAATATTGTATGTATTTAAATAATATTTAGTAGTAACTAATTATCATAATTATGTTGCATTTGCAAACCTTAAAACACTTTTATGCTTCTTAAGCAGGCTTTAAATGAGAACAGAAAGTGATGAGTAAGTAGTTTAGCCTGAGAAACATACTGTCTACATGGAAATATAGTATAATTATTTAGAATATTGTATGTATTTCAATGTAAGTTTGAAAATGTTTCAGATACCATGATGCTGTAAGCAAAAGTTTCATTGTGATTGCCAGTGGTTGGACTAAATGGAATTGGGGGTGTGTATTTTTACTTTGTAGACATAGATCATCAATTGTTTAACATTCTACATAACAGTTATATGTAAATGTAATGTAATAGGTGAATGTTCCTGTGGGTGCAAAAGTTATTGTTAATTCTTGTGATTAGGAAATGTTCAAATGAGCAATATTGAAATAGATATCGTTTCAAGCTGTCTATTATCTTCTGATTGATGTAGCTTGACAATAATATGGATTCACTAGATGTCAATCAGCCAGCCAACTTCAATCTCAAGTGCCCAGCATTAAGTTTTTCAGCATCAAGTTGCAGGATTGTTAAACCTCCTTTTAAATGCAAAGATCAAGTACAGGTGAAATGTCAAACATCATTCATATGCAATTTCAGAAGTCACCTCATTAACAAATGTAGGAATGTAGATATAAGATGGTCTACTTCAGTGACAATGTTGAATATTTTTCAGAATCCCTCAACATATAAACTGTTTAACAGTTCACAGTTTTCATCGCCTTTCACCACCCAAGTTATGGTCTGAGGGGAGGGTAGGTATGTTATGAATTTAAGCAGTTGACATTTACATCTATTCTTTATAGCATTAAGTTTATCCTCAGTTTAAATGCAAAGATCAAGTACAGGTGAAATGTCAAACATCATTCATATGCAATTTCAGAAGTCACCTCATTAACAAATGTAGGATTGTAGATATAAGATGGTATACTTCAGTGCCAATGTTGAATATTTTTCAGATTCCCTCAACATATTAACTGTTTAACAGTTCACAGATTTCATCGCCTTTCACCACCCAAGTTATGGTCTGAAGGGAGGGTAGGTATGTTATGAATTTAAGCAGTTGACATTTACATCTATTCTTTATAGCATTAAGTTTATCCTCAGTTTAAATGCAAAGATCAAGTACAGGTGAAATGTCAAACATCATTCATATGCAATTTCAGAAGTCACCTCATTATCAAATGTAGGATTGTAGATATAAGATGGTATACTTCAGTGACAATGTTGAATATTTTTCAGATTCCCTCAACATATAAACTGTTTAACAGTTCACAGTTTTCATCGCCTTTCACCACCCAAGTTATGGTCTGAGGGGAGGGTAGGTATGTTATGAATTTAAGCAGTTGACATTTACATCTATTCTTTATAGCATTAAGTTTATCCTCAGTTTAAATGCAAAGATCAAGTACAGGTGAAATGTCAAACATCATTCATATGCAATTTCAGAAGTCACCTCATTATCAAATGTAGGATTGTAGATATAAGATGGTATACTTCAGTGACAATGTTGAATATTTTTCAGATTCCCTCAACATATAACTGTTTAACAGTTCACAGTTTTCATCGCCTTTCACCACCCAAGTTATGGTCTGAGGGGAGGGTAGGTATGTTATGAATTTAAGCAGTTGACATTTACATCTATTCTTTATAGCATTAAGTTTATCCTCAGTTTAAATGCAAAGATCAAGTACAGGTGAAATGTCAAACATCATTCATATGCAATTTCAGAAGTCACCTCATTAACAAATGTAGGAATGTAGATATAAGATGGTCTACTTCAGTGACAATGTTGAATATTTTTCAGATTCCCTCAACATATGAAATGTAAAAAATTATTCTTAGAAAATTTCAAGTTACCTCTTTCTATGAATTTATGTAAAACACCCAAGAATTGTTATCACCAATATAACATGCATATGTATATTGCAGATATGGATTCCAGTTCAGAATCGGACAGCATTATTATGCCAAGTAGAAGCCGTGCAAAGAGACGCAAAAGGCAACAGCAGGCACAAGTGGCAGAAAAGAAAAAACAGACTCGAGAGGCTCCAGGAGGTGAAAAGGTGATCATGTAGTTTAAAATGTAACTATGGTATTGTAATCCATACCAAAATGTTAAAGGTTAATGAGAATAACACTATCCTGCTTATGTAGACAGACTTATCATCCGGTTTGATGTCATGAGAGTGTGCCTTTAATATCAGAACAACCTCAGACTATCATGCTTTAACATGTAGTTGTCTTACATTTTCTGAAAGCAGCTACTATTATAACGGAGCTCTGGTTTGACGTATTTTGCATGAATAATACTAGCACCCTCTCGTAACATTATACCCTGTCTTATGAAATTCCATCTCTTTGCTTCATAGACTCTTGAGTAGAATGTCTCCTGTGACATGAACTGTTGCTTGTATGTATGCTTACAATTTTGTATAGAGTGTCATTTGTCACAAGGATATATTATAACACTGCAACCACTTTATATATCATTTTATCTAATATCACAAAAGCAAGTGAGATTGTTTTAGATTTTGTAACTCAACTAACCAGATATCTATTACAGGATTTACTAATTGAATCACAGGGGGATTCTGAATATGGTCAGTTTGTACCAGGAGATGACAGTCCAGAAAGACCCACTTTAGAGTCATTTCAGTTCCCAAAACGTGAAATCAGACCAAGGATGGAATCCTTAGATTTCTCTGAAGTACCTGTGCCCAAGACAAGGGCACCCTCTCCATGTCTTCCAAGTCAGCTCGTCTTCAGTCAAAGCCAGGAAGAACCAGGTCCAAGCAGGACAACCAGGCAGACTTCTGTACCTCTCACATCATCCAAGGGTACCCAGACCCTGATTACAGGAGATATCACAGGAACTGTTTTCACAGGTGATCTTGTCAGTAACTGAAGAGAACATGGAGGAACTGTATTTAAGTAAACATTCAATTACAACTGACACTGTTAAAAACAGTCGTATAGATAGGACTATTGTTGTGACGAATGGCTTAATACTAGGCCTTTCTAAACTGGCAAAATGTTCTAATATAACTTGGTCAGATATTCTGCATTTTCTTGGAAACCCATGTGATCTCAATGCATTTCGCAGCAAAGTACATAGACTGCAGTTACAAAGAAATAAAAAGAGTGGAAAATATTTAAAGATTTTTCTATCACAAGCCTTCAGCCTTCCAACAGTTGCTGGGCAAGGAGCAACAAACCTTGGAATAGTGACTTCATTAAATACAAGACCTCCAGTTAAGACGGAAACTGAAAGTAGGCAGCCTGTAAAGTCCAAAACACTACCTCAAGTTGATACATGTATGCTTTTAAAAGAGAGGAGACAGCTGAAGAGACGTGTCAAACAGTTAAAAGAGAGTGTTACTGTGAAGAAAAGAAGAATTGATTACTGGAAGGAATCCAAATTACAGAAACCAAAAACAACGCCAAAGGCTAAATTACCTGGAAAGAAGGAAAAGGAAACCAAGGAACAACAGAAAATATATGAATTGCAACAAAAATTGAAAGAAAAGCTTATCCATGAACAGGCTCTTAAAGATTCTTGTTCAACTGTTACTAACCTCACTAAACAACTGAAGGAGAAAGATGAGACTGTAAAAGAGTACAAAAACAAGCAAGAGATGCTTGAAAGAAATTTAGAGTATGTAGAAACTTTGCTGAAAGATGACCAGAGCTCAAGTTTGTCCTTATATGACCAGCAGAATAAGAGCTACAAAACTGAAGCAGAGTTGTGTGTTTATGGACTACTCAGTCTCAATGTAGCTTCAGAGAAAGTCCCAAAGGTCATAAAGGAAGTGGCAGAATTATGTGGCAAAACATCAATAGACCGACTACCAAGTGAAGCTACTGTTCGAGAGATGAACAAAAGGAAACTTTCAATTTCACATATTCAGGCAGCTGAGCAGCTTGCTTCTAGAGACAATTTATGCTTGCAAAGTGATGAAACTCCAGACAGGGGTACCACTGTTGAGGGCTTCCATGTGAGTGATGAGTGTGGAAACACATATGTTCTTGGATTGCGGGAAATGGCCAACAAATCATCTGCATCCACATTAGATACACTGAAAGAGATTCTTTCAGATATATCCTTGGTTGAGGAAACCACTGAGTCTGGCACAGAAGCAGGAAAGAAAATTCTATCAAAGATAACGTCCACAATGTCGGATCAAGCTGCCACTCAGAAGTGCTTCAACGACCTTTTAGAAGGATATAGAAAAGAAATAATGCCAGAATTAGTGGAAACATGGGAGGAAATGTCAAATGAAGAAAAATCAAATTGTTCTAAAATCAACAACTTTTTTTGCGGACTCCACCTGTTAATCAACTTTGCAGAAGTCACCAATCAGGTCTTGAAGAAATATGAAACAGCATGTGAAGAACTGTCAACAGGTGTAAATAAGACAAAACCAGGAGAAAGTGGTGCTGTAAAGTTCATCAGGACCTCATGCAAAGCACTTGCAAGAAGGGGGGATGCCAAGAGTGGGGCATACAGCCTATTCCGGGACTACATTTTTGACAAGCTTGGTGAAAATCTTCATTTAGAACCCTTCCATGGAAACCGATTTAATGTGCTGTTCCAGAATGCAGGAAACATATATTTCTATAGAGATGAAATCAAGGATTTCTTGGAAAACACAATCAAGGACCGAAATCGTCTTCTTCAGTCAGTTCTGGATGATGTCAAGGTGGCAGAGAACATTGCAGCAGCCAAAGCTCTTGGACTGATTGAGAAGTTTATTACTTCTCCTCTCTGGAGGATCATCGAGTCCAAATGCCATATCTTGGACATGAATGAGCACTACCTGAATCTCCTAAGATTCTTAGAAGCAGCAGCCAAGGATGCCATTCCATTTCTTCAAGGAAAACACATGCCATTCCCTGAGTATGCTTGCATGGAGAAAGATAGAGATGAATTGGAGGAAGGTGCAAGCACTTGCAGAACAAAAAGAAAGCAGAAATGGGGAGATGCAGTATTGAAATCTCTAATGGAAGAAAGTAGATACGATGACAAGGTCACAGACATCCTACAAATGACCTTCGCAGCCTGGGCTATTTACTTGCAGAGGGCAGTAGAAGCTCACCTGCCAGGTGGAGAATATGACCAGGCAGCTGAACAGATCCGTGAACAGACAAAGGCTGTTCCAAAGCATAACAAATTCTCAGAAGCAGTCTTTGGCATTCTCCACAACCTGACCACCACACGTCCCAATGCCTCAGTCCTGGCTAACGAGGCATACATCGTCTTTTCCCTCAACAGAACATTAGATTGGATAAGTGGAAAAACACAAGAGGAGAGAAAGAAATTAGTCAGAAGGGCTAGGAAGCTGAGTAAAAGAATGCAGCAGAGGTTCAAGTTGAGGAAGGATGTCATTAAACAAAAAAGAGCAGAAGCCCTAAATAAGACAAGAGAATTGATTGCCAGAAATAGACAAAGAGAGTTGGAGGAAAAGGAGCGGTTGACAAATGACATAGTATTTTATGGTCTTTGGCAAACAGAAGAGGAAGTCCACAAAAATGCGAAGTCGTTCAAACACAAAAAAGATTGGCAAAAGGCTTTTGCATCACAGCTGAAATTTCGGAAGTCGGTTCTGCAGCAGTACCATGAGGATAAGACTGTGTTTCAGCTTTCAAAAGGAAAAAAGGACTTCACTTTGGAACAGCTAGTGATGAATCTAATTACATTAATAGGGTCCACTTTCTCCACAAGAAGAGAAGCTGATGTAATAAGAAAAGGAAGTCCCTTGTTGGTTGGAAAGAAAGTGCTTCATGCCTTTGAAGAAGATGGAGAACAAGTGACATACAGGGGACGAGTAATAGACACAGTCAAGGGTTTCCCAGAATGGTACAACATCATCTATGACAATGATGAAGTGGTGTACACGTACAAGCTCCAGGATGACTTTGAGAAAGGGGATTTGAAACTTGTTGGTGAGCCTCAAGTTGGAATGCACCCCTCAACGTTGGAATTGGAATGTTACATGAACTTTTACACTTTGATTTGCATCATCTACATGTGATTAATTAACATGAATCCAATCAAAACCAATCAACATATTTCTGTAGCATGCATTTAAAGGAAGACCATGCTGTATGAAATTATGTGTCCATAAAACAAACATACAGGTTGTTTCATTCCACTTTCTTGAACCTGATCCTGGTCTCTGATGATATAAAATGTTGAATATTTACAAATGCATGCAGGTAGTCCACTACTACAGCTATACTGAAAATGGACTGAGCAGCATAGTCTCTCTTTAATGCCACTATTTCTCTGTGTGATTTGAGGAGACCATTTCCTTTAAAAACATCACAAAATGTTCTGTGAAATATGTAAGAAAATTCTGTACCTGAGAAATATTGGCAAACATACTGTGCACAATTTTGCATGGGTGTAAATAGGGTTGATTACTAACCAGTTTCTCACTAACAATTCAGTTTGTAGAATAGATTAACAGTTTTTTTCATTTGTTGTATTGTTGGTAAGTTTTGTGTCGGATACTTCCAATATCATAAATGGTTATCTTCCATTTCAGTTCTACACTGCATACATTTGAAGTGTAATTGTCATCCATATGAATGATGTTGTATTAATAAAAACAGATTCACAATATATTTTTCATATCAAATTTAGTTAATATTGAGTACAATGTTCTGTAAACTTTACAACGTCATTTTTGAAGTGTAATTGTCATCCATATGAATGATGTTGTATTAATAAAAACAGATTCACAATATATTTTTCATATCAAATTTAGTTAATATTGAGTACAATGTTCTGTAAACTTTACAACGTCATTTTAATGACAAAGTGTTGTATTCTACTTGTAACTAATAGTATTCTACTATTTCAACAGTTGAAACCTCATCCAGTCCTGATGCCGAATAGATGAATACGAAGACAGTCTGCCCAGGTATTACTTTCATCATTTATTAGGACATTATGTTCCTCTTGAAATAATTTGATTTTAATGAAATAATATATCCTGATTTATGGACATGTGGATGTAACTAATGTTTCATTGAAATATTTCTACTATAGAGCTGCAAAGACTTTTCTACTGTCCATCCATATTGTTTTTTTCCCATATTTTTTTCCTCCAGATGATAACAAAAAATGTGATGTGGAGACCAACCATGGAAACAACAATGGAATATTCATGGTAATTGTAGTTCTGACATCCATGCAGGCTTCTTCCTAGTTTGGCCTACACTGTAATATAACTGACCTACCATTGCTTAAGAAAATGTTTACTCACTCTGAACATCAAAAGAATTTTATACACATTTTATGTTGAAATTCAACTATCACTGTCGTTATTATTGGTGTTATGTTTTTAATGTAGATTTGACTTTAATTTTGAATTGGATAAACCTTGAAGGCTCCTATTGTAATGAAAAAGTAAAGATCTTCTGTGGTAGATTCATTTTACAAGTTGATGAGTCAAGCATAATAATTTTCTTCTTCCAGATGATCCCGACATTCACATCTCGCCATGTGCTGCTGACTGGACACCAACAGGAATACTTTGAATGTATGTCTTAAAAAAATGTATGAAAACCAAAGTTTTAAATGGAATCCAAGCTGTCGTTCCACCCTCATTTCTCTGACATACCATGATACACATGACCTGCTGTGGCAAAACAAACTTCTGAGATTATAAATTATGTCTGAAATAGTAATGAAGAAATTCAGTTCATTGTTTTATGGTTGTTCTTCCTCTATATTTCAGGTATGCTCCTGTTTCCAATAATGGCAGTCTGAAACAGAAGACAAAGATTAAGCTGAAAACTGATAGTGTTCTGTTGTTAAACATGTGTTTTGCTTCTTTAAAACCTTGTTGATGTACAAGGGTAAATGTGATGTAAAATGTATAGTTTGTAGCTTTGTTGATATTTGGGAGTCTGCTAGTCACTGACACTTCAGCCTCTCAATCATGGAAGTGATAGTTGATGCTGATATTAAGTTGTGTTTTGATTCTTTAAAACCTTGTTGATGTACAGAGGTAAATGTGATGTAAAATGTATAGTTTGTAGCTTTGTTGATATTTGGGAGTCTGCTAGTCACTGACACTTCAGCCTCTAAATCATGGAAGTGATAATTGATGCTGATATTAAGTTGTGTTTTGATTCTTTAAAACCTTGTTGATGTACAAGGGTAAATGTGATGTAAAATGTATAGTTTGTAGCTTTGTTGATATTTGGGAGTCTGCTAGTCACTGACACTTCAGCCTCTAAATCATGGAAGTGATAATTGATGCTGATATTAAGTTGTGTTTTGATTCTTTAAAACCTTGTTGATGTACAGAGGTAAATGTGATGTAAAATGTATAGTTTGTAGCTTTGTTGATATTTGGGAGTCTGCTAGTCACTGACACTTCAGCCTCTAAATCATGGAAGTGATAATTGATGCTGATATTAAGTTGTGTTTTGATTCTTTAAAACCTTGTTGATGTACAAGGGTAAATGTGATGTAAAATGTATAGTTTGTAGCTTTGTTGATATTTGGGAGTCTGCTAGTCACTGACACTTCAGCCTCTAAATCATGGAAGTGATAATTGATGCTGATATTAAGTTGTGTTTTGATTCTTTAAAACCTTGTTGATGTACAGAGGTAAATGTGATGTAAAATGTATAGTTTGTAGCTTTGTTGATATTTGGGAGTCTGCTAGTCACTGACACTTCAGCCTCTAAATCATGGAAGTGATAATTGATGCTGATATTAAGTTGTATGTTTTGCTTTTACAAAACCTCATTGATTTACAGAGACTAACCTGATGAAAAACCTATAGTTAGTAGAGCTTTGTTGATTTTTGTTTGGATTCTGCTACTCACTAAAACTTCAGCCTCAAAACCAAGAAATTAAGTGATGATTGATGCTGATGTTAAGTTGTATGTTTTGATTTTTTATAACCACATTGATGTACAGAGATATATGTGATGAAAAATCTATAGTTTGTAGTTTTGTTGAGAGCTTTACAGACTCCTGTCTGAGAGTAGCTGAGAAAGTTGTGAAAATACTAAGAGAGGATATGTTTCTATTCTTGGCTTATTAGTGCTACTAATAAACATTTTTCCTCTTTGTTATTGTTATGATGGCTATGGATACAACTCACATAGTCTTCTTTGTCATATAAGTGTTTTCCAGTCTGGATATATGTCATTAAATTATATTTATTTACAAGTTTTGTGTGTTGTTGTGTTTCTCGGGAGCCCCACCTTACTGCAAAGAGTTGCTTGAAGTCATAGTAATTATTGATGTAATGATTTCATAATTTCAGGAATATATAAATGATACTTGTACATAAACCCTATAAAGTCATTACATACATACATTGAATATTTTTATTTCCACATGAATGGACGTAAATGACTTGCGAAATCTCAATTTGGCTCGGTTTTTGTGACATATATAAAGGGCTCCTACAACATTATTATGATATTCTTTGACATATAGTCTTCAATTCTGCCGTCAGAACAGTAATTGGGACTAGAATGCATAAAAAAAATAATTTTAAAAGCATTAAGAAAAATCAGCCTCATGCGGTGCCTAACTTTTATTTATTTACAAAATGTGTAACTTCACTAATGATTCTTTGATAGGACAATTAACAAAACTGCACTCACAGACTTTCATTCTTACACTTGTTTGGAAGGGATGTGATGATTCATGTCTCTTAAAGGTTAAAATGTTACATACAAAAGAAGTAATTTAGTAAGGGACATTTAATTATGAAATAAGATATAATTTTAATGGAATTTGCAGAAATCTCATCTTGAAGACTGGGTGGCATCAATTTTGTGGATCACATAAAAGGAGCAATGCTAAGGTAACAAGTTTTAACATTTCACTTGTTTCCAGTATATCCACCACAAAGGTTGATCATGTAAGAGAATAATTTGACAATGATTTCTCCCCGGAGATGTTTAGTTTAATGAGCACTCCCTTGCTTGGCTACTTCATATTGTTTTCACCCATAAAAGAGCTGGATCTTGAAAGCACTTGAGAGGACAGAAGTCATAAATTTATAGAGATATATAGATGTTTATTGCTGGGAGACACACTCTTCAGGTATTTGGTCAGCTGTAGAATTTGAATATGATGTTTCTTTATTATTGTCAAAGTGTAGGTTTTCATTATTTTGCATTTAAATGTGTGTGCAGTGAAACATACTGAGATTTGGAAGAGTCCATTATTTAGAGTACAGGTATTGTTAGATATCTGCATTTTATGTACATGTTCCCTTGTCAAGATCATCTATCGAGTATATTAGAGAGAAGGTGTATATTTGTAGTGTTTTAAGTCAGAGTTACTTTCAGTGTAAGACCTACATTTCAATATGTTTTGGCCACCTGTCACCCCTTTGGTCAAATAGAGTAGGACTTCCATTTCTTGGAATTGAGAGTCAGAGATACACTGTTTCCAAGAATTTTAAGTGTGCCAGCGATGTTTGTTACTTGAGTACATTTAAGTCTCTTTGAGTGTAGATTGGAGTTGTAAGTGATGTTATTCAGTGTCTTATTATTCAGGGTATGATAGATTATTTCTGGCAGTGTAGAGTTTAATCTCATTATTTTATTGTTCCGCGATTCAGAGAAGCATAGTTATGGCGTCGCAGATATTATAGGCACACATAATTCATTATATATGAGAGATTTTCTAAAAGCGTTCCTATAAGAGATTAAGTGTAAACATTTCTGAATTATGAAGAAGTTATTTATCTGAGTTTTATGAGTGTACAAATGACAAAGAGACAGAGTAGATAATAGGGATATATTTATATACTTATGAGAGCTCATTATTGTTTTCAGAACTCCATGATCCATACTTCCTTGTGTTTGGGAATAGATGGTGTTGGAAGACCTCCTACAATAGACTTGTTCTTTGACCTGTGAACCACCACCCATTTTGTTTTCTTATCATTTAATGTAAAATGGCTTTTGTTACAATTTATGACTCCTGTTAGCAAAATTGCTACATCAGTACAACTCCTATTTAATTTGAAATAATCGTTTCCGAGAATGTCTAAAGAAAACTAAATCTGACAGAATAACAACAATCTTCCATTTTTTTCCACAGTAAAGCATCGTCTAGTTCATCCTAATTCATAGTCTAATTGAATAATCAACTTGCAAATGAGGATTTTCTTTGAAAATGTTTAAGAAAACTTCCATTCCTTTAGTTGAAAATATATATTGTTTACATTTTTCGTCACATTTTGTATTGATGCTGTTCATATGTTCACATGGCAAGTTACAGCAGTGAAATGAACCTTTCAAGTGATTGATTAAACAAATACTTGAATCATTTAAGACAATATATCTTCCATATAAAATTATTCATGTATTTAAATATAGAATTTCAGAATGTGTCCTATCTCATGGGAATGAGATGGGATTGCTTCCGAAGCAAATTTCGAGAAAAAGTTAGGAACGTTTCTGAAGTATCCACCTGACCGCCAGACAGGGAGTGGCAGAAAGAGGAGAAGCTGTATGTCAGTTTAATGCTTTATGCAGATGATATTGTGTAATTATCACAACAGAGATCACCTACAGACTATGTCATGTGTGATGTTTTACATTATGCTTTAAACCACGTTTCTCTGTGTGCGTTTGTGTTCATAAAGATTTTATAAAAAGTGACTGGTTTTATGTGCTGTCTTCAGGTATAGTTCCTGTTCATCTTGGATCCCTTTCATGGTGAAAGTAATTGCATTGTGTTTATTCAGGGGTCTGTCTAATAGCTGAAATTCAGACAAAATGTCTTCTTGGGACAATTTCCACCTTTTCAAGATAACAATACAACAGTAAATAGTTTTTCTTAATTTGGAATACTCTTTTCTTCTTACTGGAATGATACGTCCAACTGACAGAAAACTTAAATAAACATTATATTGAATGTGGAATTTTAACCAAGTATTTTATCAGGTAAACATTTTTACTGCAATTTTATGTTTGAACACTGTTTATTGCAGGTAGCTTTTGGGTATTTTAGCTGGATGCATGAGTTTGGTGCTACTTTAGTGTAGTTTAAAGATGAAGTGCGAGTCTATTTACAGGAAAGCGTAATACCTCCCAGACACAACCACGGAACAACCCATTTTCAACGTTAATAATATGTCAAACTTCAACGTTGATTCCACGTCGGATATCTACGTCTAAAAACTTTCATATACAACCACGGAACAACCCATTTTCAACGTTAATAATATGTCAAACTTCATCGTTGATTCCACGTCGGATATCTACGTCTAAAAAACTTTCATATACAACCTATTATTAGGACCAACCTATTCTCAACGTTGAAACAACGTTGATGTGCCTGCCGGGACAGTTGTTTAACTTTAAAGGTCACATGCAACGTAAAACACAACTTTGCAGATTCTGATACCTTTCGGTATGGACTTACCGAAAAAAAGCGTCAAAAATGCAAATTCAACTTATAAAGTTGAAAAATAACGCGATGAAAAAGAACGCGCGAAATCGGAGTTCAAACGTTTCACTAATTTTCCCCAGACTTTTCTGGGGATCACGGTTTCAACAGCTGGCTGGCGCTCATAGCACGTCTTGCGCAGTGAAATAGGTTCGCGCAACTTGGAAGCGGGCTGTCTGGTGAATACTCGGTGAAGGCTTTGGTGTGAGCTAGTTTCATAATGTTTTGTTGATATCTCACAGGCGCGAGCTTTTTGTATGTTATGACAGTAAATAAACTGTTTATATAATTTCATTTGTCTATTTCACCACACGTTCTTCTTACCGAGTCACTTTCTCAGTTCGATACTTAAAGGTCACATGCAACCAAAAAATCAAACATAATTAAAACACAATTATCACTTCTTCATGACATATAATATGCATTGCTGATTATGAAAAAACAAATAAACAAAATTATAAGCGTATAATCGCAAATCAAAAGTGCAATATTTTGTACTTGGGTTTACCTCCCTCGAAACGAAGCAGCCGGGATACCGAACCCAGTCAGAGCGGGTGGGTGTGCACTCAAGTGTAACGGCTGGTTCATTAGCAGATGCCGCCTTCACGGGTCATTGTGTGTGTATATATAGAAAGTTGGGTTTTGTAAATACATGCTCATGTTTTGTGTATAACATTTTGCAATCAACAGACATCATAACATGCCATGTGTACAAGTATCACACCTGCCTGTCTGTGTAATTACATAATGTGACAGAGACCGAACTCGGGCCATGAATCAATGCGTTTTGTTTATGGTGTATAGCCTGATTGGTGTTAAGTTCAAATTGCATGTGGTCAGTGATCGCAGTTGTGTATTGAATATTGTCATCAGCAGACAGGCAGGCAGACACACTGGTGTCAATAAAACAAGACATTGAGTTTTGTCTGTGACAGCAACATATCTATATCACAGTTAGAAATCGTGTCAACTCTAAATAATGACATTGCTTTAATATGCTGGTGTCCAATCTGGTGTGAAATCATGAACCTGACAGGTGACATAAATATAACATATCTCAAGCCAGACAATGCCGACTCGTCATCGGCGACAGCATGGTGGTATTCATCCTTAGGTATGTATTTCATCTTACTACCCTGTATAAATTATTTCATGTACATTAAAATTTCTGTTGTTCCATTAATATGACTGTATAATACACATCTGTAATCTTCAATCTTTGGGGAAATAAAGAATATCTATCTATCTTATGCGGTATCCATCCTTACTTATGCAGTATTCATCCTTACTTATGCAGTATTCATCCTTACTTATGCAATATTCGTCCTTACTTATAACTTGGCTGACACGTATCATTGTGTCCATTGAATATCTATGCTGTTGATCACTGAATTGTCTGGTCCAGACTCGATTATTTACAGACCGCCGCCATTTGGCTGGAATATTGCTGAGTGCGGCGTTAAACAACAACTACAACTACAACAACCTTACTTATGATATTGCATTAGCCTGATTAGGAATAATTCTTCCAGCAGAATCATTCCCAGCTATGTACAGGTTAAACTTTAACATCATCCTAGATCAGGGCTATCATCCGACTTCATGAGACCTGTCTATACAATGGAGATGTTGACCAACAATTTGTATTAACAGTAGTAACTAGCGGTGGGGTAGCCCCGGTGGTTGGTTCATCACGCTGTTCAAAGACTGGGGTTCCATTCCGCGTACGGGCACAATGTGTGGATCATATTTCTTGTGTCACCCGCCATGATAGAATATCGGAAAAACTGGCGTAAAGGTTTACTCATTCAGTACTAACTGTAGTGACCTCTACTGACCAGAGGAACAGCGCTCTATTTTACTGGAGTTGTCTACTGGTGTTTTTTTCTTTTCATAGATTTTTAGAAATTGTAATTTACCTGAATTCATGGTAACAACTTTCACTTTGGCTTAGTTCCTGGAAACTGGGAATATCAGTTTTCCAGAGTTCCACGAATTTGAACTACTCCAGAGAATATCTCCAAAGCAAATGGGTTTCTGCAGAACACATATACGATGTACAAAATGTAAACTGGTGGTATTAATTCTTGACAAGATTTAAACTAGTACGCAACATCAGTATTAGGTTGCCTGATTGGTGGAACAATCTACAAAACGTCACATCAGTATGTAGGAACCCCGATACTGATGTGACCCTTAGAAGATTGTTCCACCAAGCAGGAACCCCAATACTGATGTGACCCTTTGTAGATTGTTCCACCAATCAGGCAACATGATACCAACGTGTGACTGTTGCTAATACAACCCTTTGTAGATTTTTTCACCAATAAGACAACACAATATAAACGTATGACAGTTTTGATCTGTACGTTCATAGATTGTTCCCCGCTCAGACAACACAGGGACGTATGAAATGATAGAGACCTAATATTGGAAAAATAGTATGTGTTGGATGAAGAGTCCATATTCAGGAAGTGTTTGTAAGCTTCACATCTCCTGCCAGCTATATATGAAAGAAAGCCAGTCAATGCTGGACCAAAAAATCCAGTAATTGACACTGATGAGCAACAATCTACTACGTTGAGTTTACAGAGATATGCTATGAACCAAACCAACCAGTCTGACCTTGAGTTTACAGAGACATGCTATGAACCAAACCAACCAGTCTGACCTGTATGTGACAATCTCAAGACCCATGAAGATGCTTGTCATTAGAGGCGACTACTGGGATCGGGTGGTCAGGCTTGCTGACTTGGTTGACATGTCATATCCCACTTGTGTAGATTGATGCTCATGCTGTTGATCACTGGATTGTCTGGTGACTTACAGACCTCCACCATATAGCCGGAATACTGCTGAGAGCGGGATTAAACAACAAACCAAACCAATGACAATCTCAAAAGCAAATAGTTTGGGAACATTCCCTGTTCATATTGGAAACTGTTGCTCTGATCTGCACAAAAAGAACCATTACAAGAGACCTCCTGTACAAACTTTGTAATTTATTATCATATATCACACATTCTCACAATAGGCATAATAGTAACCCTCAGTTTATCCATTTCAGAGGTGTAATCAGGATAATAAAATATTGAAACTACATACATTCTCAATGAGTCTAATTAAAATCATTATCACAAATTAATAAATTAAACACTCGTCCATAACAGTCTCTGCTCCATAGGAGTCTTGCAGTGGATGAGAAGGAAGTCATTTGGAGTCCTAGTCATGACTGCGGCAGCGGGATACTCCAACATCGGGATGTTAATCAGGGATGGTTTGATGAATACTGTATTAACAATGACTTCTTTGTGTCAAGGTCTCACATAGGTGGTGTGTTATTGGTCCATAGCTCTGTGTAAACCACATGTGTGACTGAACATGTTTCAGATGAAATCAGCTGTCAAAAATATTGACAAAAGTAATCAACTTCAATTTTTCATCTGAACCAGATCACATCTATATATCTTTAGACCTACATTGAGAAACATGAAAATCACAGAAATATATCTGGCAAATTGTATGTATGCTTGTGACTGCCAGTGAGTCATGGTCACTGACTCTTTCAAACAAAAACCAGTTGCTTTCCTTTTCTGATACATTTAGATATCCGTACCTCAATTCCTAATACCTGACCCCTATACCTGTTAGGTGACCCCATGTATTTACGATACCTGACCAATATTCCCAATTACTGACCCCATATATTTCTGATACCTAACCCGATCATATTTCCAAACGTTACAAACACTTTGAGGAACGGGACCCTGACCTATTCCTGATTGCTGACCTCATATATTTCTGATACCTAACCCAATTGTATTTCCGATACCTGATCTCTATTCCTGATAACTCACCCGATTGTATTTCCGATACCTGACCTCTATTCCTGATAACTCACCTCTATTTCCGATACCTGACCTCTATTCCTGATAACTCACCCGATTGTATTTCTGATACCTGACCTCTATTCCTGATAACTTATCCAATTGTATTTCCGATACCCAACCCCATGTATTCCTGATACCAATATATTTCACTGAAATCTTATATTTAGAGATATTCCAACATTTCATTGAAAACAAAAATGTCTAACAAAGTCACATACCAGAATGAAAAGCTGTAACATAATATGATTAATTAAAGATAACGAAAACCTGAAATGGGATATCTTTAATTCTAATTTAGGAATGTTTATCAACACTTGCAGAGCTCTCAGAATACTTAGGTCGATTCTCGATACTGGAGTTTCTCCCCAAGACTGCAGATTTACTGTTGGTCAGGTACCTCCACAATATGTCTGTTGTTGCAGCGTATGGCTAGCTCTGGTTCAGCTAGACTTGATATTTACTGGACATTACATCAAACAGTGATACTGATTCTCAGTTGCTGTGATTTACACAGGGTTATGGCCTGAGAATTATGAGGCCAATGGTTAATCCATCAACTGTGTCAAGGTCTGATCTAATGGTGCTTCATCAGCAACGCTACACTAGTAGAAGGAAAAAACATTTGGAGAAACAAAACATTTGTCAACAAATCCCTGTACATTCCCATAATATCAACATGTCAGCATATCTCTAGAATCTGTACAATCGATAGACAAAGATCATCCAGCTAATACATAGCAGTAATGTTAATCCAGGTAGTAAACAACAAGAAGGAAGCTCCTGCACTGTCAGTGGTCTAGTCACTGGAGGGGTGGGCTGCTGATACAGGCGAGCTGCTTCTGATGGTGGTGGTCTGCAGACGGGTAGCAGTTACAGACACAGACACACTCTCTGTGTATGTGTGTGTGTGTGTGCGTGCGTGCGTGCGCGCCCGTGCTCATAAGGGTTAGTCACAGAAGGGGTTCTCTGCTGATATAGACGGGCTGCTTCTGATGATGGTGGGCTGCAGATGCATAACAGTTACAATGTGTGTGAGTCTCTACTGATGAGTGAGTGAGTTTAGTTTTACGCCTCTTTTAGCAATATTCCAGCAATATCACGGCGGGGAACACCAGAAATGGGCCTAACACATTGTACCCATGTGGGGAATCGAACCCGGGTCTTCGGCGTGACGAGGGAATGCTTTAACCACTGGGCTACCCCACAGCCCCACTCTCCTGATATGGGTGGGTCACTGACTCTGGGAAGTTGTTGCTGTGGGCTTTACGCTGCTAATGGGGGATGGGGTGGATTGCTGATGAAGTACAGGATTAGTTTATAAGGGTGGGGTGCAGAAAGTGAGGACTGAAGACACTGGCACTACCATTCAATATTCCACTGATCATGCAAATGCAAAATATTGACAGTCTACTCAATGAATTTTTTGAAAATTCAGCTCTTTTGTAATTCAGCACTAAACTGACTCACTTACAGGTACATACTGTGAAGTAAACTCTGAAATACTTCAACTATTCACATTGTATCTATTAGTACAAATCTGATGCAATTTCATGAATAAAACTTTATGCTGGGAGTGCAGCACCCAAAGGACATCCTCTGAGTTTTGAAGCCGGGACATGATGTTACACAACTCAAGGAGAGTCCAGAGTAACTGACATACGTCAACAGTGCAGAAGTTTCCCTCTTTCAAAACACAAACAATTCTGGGGCAGTCAGTTAATGCCACTCATACACATGATTCCACAAGTAACAAACATGTAATAAATATATTCTCAGTGACTATGCATAGCATAGCGTCATGCTCACTACCCAACCTGTCCCTGACATGGAAACTATGTTACACTGTATTGTCTTCAGTTATGTTTTTCAGTCCAGCACTACCTGGTTGAGCAGCAGATTCTGTGTTAGCTCTGTGGTGTAATTCTATGGCTGTGATGAGTCTCCCACATGCCCAAACATTGTGATACTTGGTGCCATGAAGGATACAACTACGTATCCTGAAAACTTGTATCAGTACAATGATCCATGCATTGATAACATGTTATGTTTGATAACTAAAAGATTGTTGATACTGAAAACATTAACAGCATCTAAAGGGGAGCATTTTAAATTAATGAAAATATGTAGGATAGTGCAGTGTGGTGTTGGAGAAGTTAGTAAGGCCTGAAACATCTTTCCCTTTAGTTCAGGCAAATCAACAGATTTGTTTAGCTGTTATCCTCAATCTAGAACCAGGTTTGTTTAACAAAGACAACTTCTATCTAAATGTTAAGGTTCCTTTTCATAATTGCTTTTTACATAAGTATCTTTTCCCCTATACAGCTTTGTGAAGTAAAAGTAAAATACATAAAAACATTTTTCAAAGTGATTCTTTAAAACATATATTTTATGTACCTTTCATGACAGACCAGAAGTATAACAGTAATGGAGGGGAGATGTGGGTAGATCACAAATCATATCTATTACAGTACCATTTTACCAAGGTTTGGACCAGAGCTGAGCTTAAACCTTTTGTGCTTGACACACAATGAAACCAAATGTTGCTTCCACTTTTGTCCATCATCATGTAGCTTGACCATGTTGAAACTTCTTCAGTTTAATTCTTGATCCAGACAAAAGGTATAATTTAAATGCATACACTTTATATAAGATCTAATTATAATGCATGTTTCTTTACAACTTGTATTCTTCAATACCATGTGTGGATACAGTATATCTTGAATATCATCACTCTCGATGGTGTTGGTCAAATGTGTTCTGCTATTAATAATTTTGAAAATATTTTTGTTGACATCACTTCTTTTAGATTAAAATTGTAAAAACTTGAGAGTTTGTGTACAAAGGGCACAGTACTGCTGCTGTCCTTTAGAGGCCAGTGTAACAGATTCTCCTCCTCTGCCTTTGTGTTGCTGCCCGAAGTCTCCAGAGCACAATAAAACTGTAGATTATCACAGGTGTATCAGACACAGGGCTTTGTGTCCGTGAACCTTTCTATCCCAGCCGTCCTTCTGGTAACCTGGCTAAATGCTGCATCTTCTGTAACGCTGAATGCCGCCACCACCACCCAGCTTCCACATCCAACTGGTGCAATCATACAGAACTTCATGTTACAATTACACTGTACAACTGAACTGGGTGTGTTTGCCATCAAGTTGATGATCATCCTAGGTGCACTCATCAGCATCCTCGGTAGTCACGTAGTCATGAGTGTTACTCACATAGCAACCAGAGTCAATCGTGGAGTTGCCGGAGTCACTCACGTAGTCACCGGAGTCACTCACATAGTTACCAGAGTCACTCATGAAGTTGCTAGTCACTGACATAAAGACACGTAATCACCAGTCACTCACGTAATCACCAGTCACTCACATAATCACCAGAGTCACTCATGTAATCACCAGTCACTCATGTAATCACCAGAGTCACTCGTGCAGTTGCTAGTCACTGATATAAAGACACTCACGTGATCACCAGTCACCATGTAATCACCATAGTCACACCAGTCACTCATGTAATCACCAGTCACTCCATCCCTCATGTAATCACCAGAGTCACTCGTGCAGTTGCTAGTCATTGATATAAAGACACTCACGTAATCACCAGTCACTCATGTAATCACCAAAGTCACTCGTGCAGTTGCTAGTCACTGATATAAAGATATGGTCACTTGTCACTCACAATCACCAGTAACTCGTACATGGCAACTCAAGTCGTTGCTCAGTAACCCCCAGTCACTTACATGACAACCAGTGTCGATCTCATACTCACCAGTCACTTACATGGCAACCAAAGTCGATCTCATAGTCCCCAGTCACTTACATGACAACCAGTGTCGATCTCATAATCCCCAGTCACTCACATGGCAACCAAAGTCGATCTCATAATCACTAGTCACTTACATGCAATCATTCACATAATTACCAGAAGTACCCATAGTTGCCATAACAACAAGACTAATGTCATATCCAGTCACTTGCATTAAGTCACATAATCACCAGGTACTCACCAAGTAACTAGAGATACGCACATAGCAACCAGAATCACACAACGCCAGAATCACTCACCTAGCAACCAGAGTCACTCATGTAATCACCAGAGTTGCTCACACAGAGTCATTCACTTAGAATCACCACAGTCACTCCCCTAGCAACCACAGTCACTCACCTAGCAACCAGAGCTACTCACGTAATCACCAGAGTTACACAGAGTCATTCACGTAGAGGCAATCACCTAGCAACCACAGTCACTCACCTAGCAACCAGAGCCACTCACTATGAGTGCTGGGAGGGAGGAAGGCTTCAATGTTTATCAGATCGAGGCCGACCCTGTTGACATATGTGGGTGTGACCCTAACCCTGGCACTAGTGGAGAAAGTCTGATACACTGGCAAAGGCGCAAGCTCCTAGACCCTCTTTGGACATAAGCCTCATACACTGGGTGGCCTGAGCTATGGCTAGTTCTAATGGAGGTTGTTTTGGTAATCCATAGGATTCTGAAATGACAATTTTGAAAATATCAAGCACATGTTCTCACAACAAAGAAATAATGAACACACACCTGTATCTGGCTAATGAACTATGCAATATCTAGCTTTACATCATCTTTCAGTAGTTTGATGTTACCTCTTGGCATTAGACAGAAGAATGTAGAACAAAATCCAAAACGGATATGCATAAGTTAAGAGTAGAGCAAATCTCAGCAAATAGCAAGTGCATGGCAATGATATTTAGACTACATCTATAGGTACGGTTCTTGGGAATAACATTTGAACTTGAGGAAATCTAAAATCAAAACTGTTTTTTTCTAAAAGACATGAAGATTAAACAAATATCTACACCTCTACAGGGCAGCTTGAGGGATTGGCATGATAAGCAATTATTACTAACTGGGCTACCAAGCTGGAGTGGAATCTCCTGTGTACTGACCTAGAATGGCACTGTTGAGGGCAGCACACACAGGTTCCCTCTGCACTGGCTGCAGCTGCACCCCCACAGGACTGCTCCAGGGGTCGGCGTATGCTAACAAGCTGAAGGCATCCTGCAGACAACAACACATGTAGGTCACGTCCTCTATCTGTCCTTTTGTCAAACAGTTTCGGCTTTGCAGAATAGGCACCCACATGAAATAGAGTGATTGACGTGACTTGAACAAAGCTAAACAGTATTTCAGCCTGAATGTCCCCCAATTCTTGAAGATGATAATCACTTTGGTGCAAGGCATGGTGATTAGAACTGTGCTGACAAATCTAGGAACATAATCAATGAACCATCTTGAATTCAAAACCCAAATAAGATTCCTGGCATATCCAAAGAGTGCAATACTGCACAGGACCATCTGGTGCCTTAACAGACTGAGAAACTAATATGTCATTAACAAGAGTAAATAGGATGGAGAACGTTTTAAGTAGTACAAAGCTGATGATCGTCTCTTCCAGTGAGTCAGGTCTGATGCTGCTTTCAACAGTTTTTGTGTTACTATAGGGCACATGAGAGCCAAAAGCAGGGCTCGATTTAAGAGATGTTAACCTACTTGCACCAGGTGCAACCTAAGATAAAAACAAAGTTGCACCAGCCAAATTCCACTTCCTCTGCTTTTATTGCAATATGTAATGAAAGAAATGTGCTATTGAATTATTTAGATGTTTTATTCAGAAGTTTACCCACTCAAAACTTGACTTGCACATGGTGCAAGTTAGACTAATAACTAGGTTGCACTTTATAATATTGGGTTGCACCAGTGCAAGTAACAAAGCACTAAATCGAGCCCTGAAAAGGTAATGCAGATTGCTGATGTAACCACTTTATTCAAACTCTCAAGCACAAGGACCTGTTGCTGCTGACACACTCGTTCCCAATGGACTCAAAATTCATACAGTTTCTTTTACTTAATATCTCATCTGAATAAAATCACCAATCAATCAATCAATCAAAACTTTATTTTCGTACAAAGGCCATCGGCCCATATACATACAGTTTCATACATCTAATACAATTTGCATATATGTATACATACCAATCTGCATACATGTATACAGGTATACCAAGACATTGACCTAAGTCACTAAGATGGTGAAAATGACATAGACATTTTCTGGCTGCTATTTACCCAATTTAAATATAGATACCCCAATAAACCCAAGTTCATTTAATGGATGTGAAAATATTTTGATCATTCAACCTTCCTGACCATTAAGGACAACTTCTGACTGACTGACTGACTAAGTTTGGTTTTACGCCGCTTTTAGCAATATTCCAGCAACATCACAGCGGGGAACACCAGAAATGGGCTTCACACATTGTACCCATGTGGGGATCGAACCCGGGTCTTCGGCATGACGAGTCAACGCTTTAACCACTAGGCTACCCAACCGCCCCTGCAACTTCTGAAATACTGTATGTGTAAATTAGTCATTCTAAAGTAGCCTATGATTATTCAATGATCAAAACATACTTATATTGGCAGTAAAGTGAGAAATCCAATTTTACTGATTCAGCATCACTTCAGCACAGAATTATCATTCTATATCAGACAGCCACTTGCTTCAACACTTACTTGTAATGCTTTTTTGTTTGCATCATTCTTGCCATACTGTCTGCGGAGGTGTATACTCATGGTCTTGAGATCCCGGCCGAACTGAAGCATCTTCTGTACAGCAGCCTGACTGCCTCCACACATCTGTCTGCGACTTGAAGGAGAGTCCACCTCTACAACATCCAGAGTTCCATCACATCAATACACAACTACCTCACATGACTTGAGGGAGAGTCCACCTCTAGAACATCCAGAGTTCCATCACATCAATACACAACTACCTCACACGACTTGAGGGAGAGTCCACCTCTAGAACATCCAGAGTTCCATCACATCAATACACAACTACCTCACACGACTTGAGGGAGAGTCCACCTCTACAACATCCAGAGTTCCATCACATCAATACACAACTACCTCACATGACTTGAGGGAGAGTCCACCTCTACAACATCCAGAGTTCCATCACATCAATACACAACTACCTCACACGACTTGAGGGAGAGTCCACCTCTACAACATCCAGAGTTCCATCACATCAATACACAACTACCTCACATGACTTGAGGGAGAGTCCACCTCTACAACATCCAGAGTTCCATCACATCAATACACAACTACCTCCACCGCGACTTGAGGGAGAGTCCACCTCTACAACATCCAGAGTTCCATCACATCAATACACAACTACCTCACATGACTTGAGGGAGAGAGTCCACCTCTACAACATCCAGAGTTCCATCACATCAATACACAACTACCTCACACATCCGACTTGAGGGAGAGTCCACCTCTACAACATCCAGAGCTCCATCACATCAATACACAACTACCTCACACGACTTGAGGGAGAGTCCACCTCTACAACATCCAGAGTTCCATCACATCAATACACAACTACCTCACATGACTTGAGGGAAAGTCCACCCCTACAACATCCAGAGTTCCATCACATCAATACACAACTACCTCACACGACTTGAGGGAGAGTCCACCTCTACAACATCCAGAGTTCCATCACATCAATACACAACTACCTCACACGACTTGAGGGAGAGTCCACCTCTAGAACACAGTGTTCCACCACATCAATACACAACTACCTCACATGACGGAGCGTCCACCTCTAGAACATCCAGTGTTCCACCACATCAATACACAACTACCTCACATGACGGAGCGTCCACCTCTAGAACATCCAGTGTTCCACCACATCAATACACAACTACCTCACACGACTTGAGGGAAAGTCCACCTCTAGAACACAGTGTTCCACCACATCAATACACAACTACTGGAGAAAGTGAGTACATAGGATCTTAGGCCATTGGCAGCAGTACATAAGACCTGGTCCAAACAAATCATGAGCAACTATATTTAAGACCATCAGAGTTTTCAAGGTACTTATCAATCTCTCCATGGTTAACAGTCAAAACCCTAGTGTTCTTAAATAGATTTGTTTCTTTGGAGAATGGTGCCACTTGCACATCTCAACTCACTACAAAAACACTAACACCATCATTCATCATCCATACAAACATTCCAAAGGCCTTGTAGTTTCAAAAGAGATAAAAGTAAATAACTGAGAACCATGCCATGAATAAAGCTCACTGAAAAAATTCACTATCAGTTTTAACGAGGCATTTGTCAAATGTGCACATGAGTACAAGAAAGAAGTGGTCAAACTTTCCCACGAGAGAAGTTTTGTATTGGAGTCTCACCACAGCTGAAAACTTAACCTCGTGGGGATCATCCATCAATGTACATTCAATCATGCAGTTATTTTGGGACCTATACTGAGGGCTTAGACTCTTGGAATCTTACAACCATGATCGATGCTCATGCTGTTGATCACTGGATTGTCTGGTCCAGACTCGATTATTTACAGACTGCCATCATATAGCTGGAATATTGCTGAGTGTAACGTAAACCTAAACTCACTTGCTCACTCACTCACAAGACATTACACCATATTTGCAAAAGACAAAAACAGATGGTGTAGAAACATTTCAAATAAATACCACTTGAAGAGGACAAAAACATCACAATGGACATCCGACACAATCCGTATTTGTCCATCTTATTCATCTTACCCATATCTTCATCATCACATGGGTGAGAGTTTCCGTTCATGCACACCGATCCCCCCGACGTGCCATTGGTTATCACGCCATCCTCTACATGACCTTCGCTCATTTCAACGTCATCATTGTCAATTAATCGTGAACGGCCGTTCATTGACATGTGATCAGAGTTTGCAGCGTTCATCTCCTCCTCTGCCCGACGAGAGTCTGACTGATTGTGGGAGTTTTGGGAGGAGCTGCCTGAGCTGTGACTTTTTGTGGATGAGCGGCTTGGACTGCTGCTCCCTGATCCCCCAGACGTCCTCTGGGGGTGGAGTGTGTTCCCGCCACACCCATAATGCACTGGGCTCATGCTCGGGGAGGACCGACTGCTACCACTACTGTGTCGGGACTTAGGGCTTCGGATTGCAGCACCGCGCACTTCACTGTCTGTTCCGTTGACCATCTCGATGAACTGTCTGCACTTGAGTGTGAAAAGAAGGTTGGGGTTTCTCTCCAGGAGTCCTGGGTACAACTGCTGGGTGGCATCGATGGCTTCACCCATTCGTCCCGCCAACACCAGCTTCTGGATTCCTGCACAATACAAAATAGCATGAATATCTCAAAATTATACATGAAAGGTAACTGTTCTTTACCTTAACCCTGTGAAATTATAAATAGACAGGGTTCCTAGATTCAACACCTATGGTAGCATGTATCAAGGTCCAATACAATGTTTAACCTGTCACTTACAATGAAGAACAAGAAGATACACAATTCCAAGACAGGTAACACAGCTTAAATCAGTGGTGAATGGGTAATTGTAGCTTTAAATCACAGCAACATTCCAGACATACCACAGCAGTGTGTAAATACTGGGCCAGGCATTAGCCTGTCTCACAGTCCCTGATCATATTATTTTCACTACTGCCTAGCCGTCTCTGCCATGCTAAAGCCCTAAATGAAGCAAGTTTAGATTTCCTCAGGTTCAGGTTCTGAATCTCTGGTCTCCCTGGGGCTCCTGTTCAATTTAAAGGGGTTTATTGGTTACAATCAAAGTTATAGATTCAGAGACTAAGCGTTAGTCTAGGCCAGGCATATGAATGGTTGATAGCAAGAGCACCAAATGATATTTCTAGGGTACAATGACACACGAGTGTGAACACACCCTATGACCACTGGATACCATTTCTTTGGGATATTGGGGGGATATCCTTCTACAGAACCCAAACAGGGATAACAGCCAAAATCATGACTGTTACAATCATTGGCAATTGAAGATTCTATTTCGTCATTTGTAAACCATGGAAGAGCCAAGTACACATTCTTTTCAGATACTTCACAGACATTGGAGCAAACTTCTCCAAGGAAAGACTCGTTTACTCTTTCAATTAAAGTCCATCATGGATTATTAATATTATCAGATACATTTTCAACAGTGAAGATGAGGGCCCATGCAAATATAATCATAAATTCAATAATGCCTTAATCCAATCAGCTATGACAGATACATACATATAACATGCACATCACATACAATCTACCATGGAGAATAATCATTAACATGGCTGAACACAATTCAATCAGCTATGACAACATATCAATAAACATTACTCTGTCTGTTCTTGATGGAAGCCAGATCTTCATCTATGGGCTGATTGGTGCTCTTGGTGAAAGCTTCTGCAGTTGAGCAATAGCCATGGTGGACTAGGTATGTCGACACAATCCTGAAGACAAAGAATATAAACTCAAAACCCTCTTTCACTAGTGTCTAGTCACATATGACAAAATACTAAAAATACTTATTACTCCTTGTACTAAACTTTAATTGTGATAAAAGGTCTAATTTCAGTTACAAATTCCTAATGATGAAATATACCACTCAAAACAGATGACAGATTAACTATTGTGATATAACAATCAGGTATTCTTTATTTCTTTTGAGTAGTATATAGAGGATCAATCCTACTTTACTTAACCATTACACATGTGGGTAGAGACTACCAGTCCTGCTGTGAGAAGCCAGAGCAGTCTAAATACTTGTCTTATAGATCCACATGCCACTTTATATTCATAGAAACAAAACGATCAGTAAAGGGAAATAATTGTACCCAGTAACCTTACTTTCTAAATTTACAGCAACATTAACTGTGTATGTTTTCTCCTACTCATGGGAAGACATAATCTTTTCAAAGAAAATTAACAAAAACTGGGAGTGTGTGATGAAACACTATTGTAGGCACTAAGCAGTAAAAAAACCCGCCTCCGTGGTGTAGTGGTTAGAGCGTCCGCCCGGAAAGGAACATCGCGGGTTCGATCCCCGGCCACGTCATACCAAAAGACGTTAAAATATGGTACTTGTTGGTCCCTGTCTGGCGCCCGGCATTAATGGGCACAACAAGGACTGGTCGGCTCGGAGTCAGTATAATGTGGGGTATTCATGCTTCACTGCGGCATGGTATCTCAGTGGGCTAGCACTATAAAACCAGCTTCAGTCTGGGCTAGTACAAGCAGCCGCACATACACATACACACGCATGCATGTCGTCATATGAGCGAAATATTCTCAAGCACGACGTTAAACCCAATTTCACCTCACCTCACCTACGCAGTAAAAAGTTAACAGCTTCCTTACAGTTTCCTCATCATTTGCTTGATAACGGTGTTAGTATCTACACCGAAACGTCGCTCATATTATATTAAAGATGTTGTATATCCATTGAACTCTCCTCGTTGAGCTTCCTTAAGAGCAAACCTTTTATATCTTAGGCATTTGCTTCAACAAATGTTCCCTTCCTGTGTCAATCATGGCATTGTTCATTGTTAGAAATATCTAAATGTAAAACTGTACCTACCTCTACTATAACATGAGGTGTAAAGAAATAGTTCTGTAAGTAACCATCTGTTTTAGTAAATAACGGAAAACCCAAACAAATGACCCTGCTGACCTGTGTAGAGCAGCTGACCACTCCCCTCGTCGGTCGGACACTGGGAAACGAGAGATGGTGAGGCCAGTCTTCATTCTCCATTCCTGTACAAAACACACCAGAGGGTTAACTCAAGCTGAACTCCTGCTGCAAGACACAGACAACTTTAGTCATGCGAAAACAGTGAGACTTCAAACATCGTTGATACTGGACTAGCCAGGCCATCGAGTTGATTACCAATAATCCTGTGTCAATTTGGCTTGATATTTAACAATGTACTCAGCAAGAGTCCATCTATGTGACTGACATTATAGGCAATAACCCAAGCCAAGTCGCCCATCTTGATCACTCGATCTATAAAGTTGCCTTTTATGAAAAGCATAGGTTGCTAGGGTCAACTGTAGGGTACTGGCCTTCATGTAATCTTCTATGTCAAAGACAAAGGGACTCTGTCCAAAGTTGGCCTCCACCACTTCTCCTGGAGTCTGCAGACCCACAGTTGGGTACAGCTTGGGCTGCAACATAGATCAGTCATAGATGAAAATACTCAGGTATTTGTAAATGAACATAAAGAACATTTACATGCACTATCCTTCACTGAACACAAAGATAACTGTCTTTTCCATCAGTTGATAAACACCCATCATACGCTCAAAATGTCGGGCATATTCCTGCCTTAGTATCATCCCTTTGATTACAAAATGATCAGAACAAGTGTCCAAGAGTTATGTCCCCTCCATCACAAACTGTACTTTTGTGTGTGAAGAAAGCCTGAAAGGATACACGTTCCTGATGGATACTATGAAAATATTACCATAGTTAATGTACTGTCAGCTAAGGAACAAATGCACCCAACTTAGATTCAAACCCATATATATGGATCCTGGCACAGGTAAGGGAGGCAACTGTGCACAGCTAGTCATCACACACAAGACTGATGGGGTATCTGAGCCTATTAAACATTTGGAAGACATCAACAACTGAATAATGAATACTTACCGGGAGATCTGTACAAGCTACACCTGAAACAGAAGACACACAGTATTGAGAATCTGGGACCTGAATCTGCCGGAGAGCAACTGAAGTTGAACATAATATGTCTGAAATACGAATGAAACTGTATCTTTTTATGTCACTTTTAGCAATACTTCAGCCTTGACAGTGTGACCACCTGGATCGTTGGTATGATGAGTGGCACAAGGCTTGCCCACCAACACTAGAATGAAACTGTGACAAATATCATCTTCCATTATCACGACTAACGGGATCAGGGGGTCAGGCTCGCTGGCTTGGTTGACACATGTCATCGGTTCCCAATGGCGCAGATCGATGCCCATGCTGTTGATCACTGGATTGTCTGTTCCAGACTCGGTTATTTACAGACCGCCGCCCTATAGCTGGAATATTGCTGAGTGCGGCGTAAAACTAAACTCACTCACTTCACGCAGAGAAGTTTTGTATTGGAGTGTCACCACAGCTGAAAACTTAACTTCGTGGGGATCATTCATCCATGTACATCCAATCATGCAGTTATTTTGGGAACTATTCTGAGGGCTTAGACTCTTGGAATCTTACAACCATGATCGATGCTCATGCTGTTGATTATGTACAGACTGCCGACCTATAACTGGAATATTGCTTAGTGCAGTGTAAAACTAAACTCACTCACTCACTCTTCTATTCTCAAGTTATATGAAAAAATATGTTCGCTACAGTTTTGTATCACAAGTGATTTCACCATTTCTACTTTTACCACAAACATTACATGTAATGTCTCTTACTCAACATCAAAAGGCATCATGAGATGAAATATACAGGATAGTCCTTAAGACTAATGCACAGATGATCACAAAACTTAACAAATATGAGCTTACCTAGGTTTACACCATTCTTAGTGTAGAAACAAGTGTTGTCAATAAGGTTGAGGCAGCAGCCAATCACATCGCCTGTTGTGAAAGTCGGACCGTATGGTTGGCCAGTTCCACAGGAACAGAATGAGTTGCCATCATCACCATGGTAACCATAGGAATGTTTGTCCCAACCTAAAATAATGAATTAAGATCAACTTTGAAGGATAAGACCAATAGGCAGAACACCCAAAGCTAGTTCAGCTGAAAGACATACACAATAAGCTTTCTGTTTTAACAAGTCTGCAATGTTATATAATAACCCGATACTCTATTTCCGATGACTGCTCAAGACGAGAAGATGAATGAAGGTAGATTGTTCGGCTTATGTACAGAACACACCATTTTGATACTGATATTAAGACCTTAACTTATCTATGAGATCGGTCTATCTATGATAATATACGGTATATCATTTTCCTTATCTGTGCTTGTGGTTTTCTGTATTGTGGGGTCGTCAAGGTTACAAAAGTAGATAAATAAAATACACATTTGAGCAAGTTCCTGACATGCATATTTATCTCAAAAGTAAATAAACTCATTTGAGCCATTTGGCACAACTTGAAAATATACACATACAGGTTTATGAAGTCTAAAAACACAAAAATGCAAATATATATAATAAAATATGCAGGGCTCAGAATTACACATGTAGCAAATATGGATAAGTGAGGTGAGGTGAAAGGGGGTTAACTTTGCACTTGAGAATATTTTGCTCATATGACGACGTGCAGGCGTGTGTATGTGTGGGTGCCGGTACCAGCCCAGACTTAAGCTGGTTCTATAGTGTTAGCTCACTGAGATACCATGCCGCAGTTAAGCAGTTAAAAGTTCATATTTGAACTAATTCCTGCCGCACACACAGACATTTGCCTGAAAAGTAAATATACTAACATTCTAAAGACCATCAATTTAGCCATTTCACATAGTGTTGAGATATGTGCAAATATACATGATACATGTTCCACAATACCAGTGAAGCAGCACTTGACCAGTACTTGAAGCAGCATTATTCAACTGTACCGGTGAAGCAGCATTATTCCACAGTACCAGTGATGCAGCATTTTTCAACAGTACTAGTGAAGTATCATTATTCCACAGTACCAGTGATGCAGCATTATTCCACAGTACCAGTGATGCAGCATTATTCCACAGTACCAGTGAAGCAGCATTATTCCACAGTACCAGTGAAGCAGCATTATTCCACTTCCACAGTACCAGTGAAGCAGCATTATTCAGCATTATTCAGTACCAGTGAAGCAGCATTATTCCACAGTACCAGTGAAGCAGCATTATTCCACAGTACCAGTGAAGCAGCATTATTCCACAGTACCAGTGAAGCAGCATTATTCCACAGTACAAGTGTACAGTACAAGTGAAGCAGCATTATTCCACAGTACCAGTGAAGCAGTGAAGCAGCATTATTCCACAGTACCAGTGAAGCAGCATTATTCCACAGTACCAGTGAAGCAGCATTATTCCACAGTACCAGTGAAGCATTATTCCACAGTACCAGTGAAGCAGCATTATTCCACAGTACCAGTGAAGCAGCATTATTCCACAGTACCAGTGAAGCAGCATTATTCCACAGTACCAGTGAAGCAGCATTATTCCACAGTACCAGTGAAGCAGCATTATTCCACAGTACCAGTGAAGCAGCATTATTCCACAGTACCAGTGAAGCATTATTCCACAGTACCAGTGAAGCATTATTCCACAGTACAAGTGAAGCAGCATTATTCCACAGTACCAGTGAAGCAGCATTATTCCACAGTACCAGTGAAGCAGCATTATTCCACAGTACAAGTGAAGCATTATTCCACAGTACAAGTGAAGCATCATTATTCCACAGTACCAGTGAAGCAGCATTATTCCACAGTACCAGTGAAGCATCATTATTCCACAGTACAAGTGAAGCATCATTATTCCACATTCCACAGCCATGGCACAAGTGAAGCAGCATTATTCCACAGTACCAGTGAAGCAGCATTATTCCACAGTACCAGTGAAGCAGCATTATTCCACAGTACAAGTGAAGCAGCATTATTCCACAGTACCAGTGAAGCAGCATTATTCCACAGTACACAGTGAAGCATGCATTATTCCACAGTTTCCCAGTACCGCAGAAAGCAGCATTATTCCACAGTGGAAGTGAAGCATCATTATTCCACAGTTCAAAGTGAACTGCAATTTAAATCGCTTACACTGCATTAAAATGAGAACAACAACACACCAACAACAAACATTAACAATGCTACAGTGCACAAGACTTACCTGGCAGCCGGTTCATGTTGACCCCCTGGGTAGAGAGACCGATGCCCATATATCTGTAAGACACAAACAGAAACATCAATACTCTGTGGCACTCCATTCGTGTGGCAGTTTGGTAAAGGAAGCATTTTCATTTAGGCCTAATTGGAGTCAACACAACTGTTGATTTTCCATGCCTCTATCTCCATTCTAAAATTGCTGATTCAGCTTAAGTTCACTCGCTGACTCCCTCCCATATCATAATACCAACATGTTACCTAGTTAAAAGACCATTAATGAAAGTCTTCAAATTAGGTTACATGCAAAGAGTGTTATTTTACAAGGCCACAGTTCATAGATTCAGACGTCACACTCTTATACCCATAACAGTCATTTTGACCGGTTCATTTGAGACTCAGTTAACCCATTCAACACTGTAGGCCGGAAAACTGGCCAAGACGTCACGAGTCCCCAGACACCGTAGTCCGTCACAAGACACCGTAGGCGGTAAACCGGCCAGGCAGTAGTCGCATCAAAATTATATATAATTTTAGGAACCTAACTAACATATGATTCTTTTATTAAATCTATCACTTTTTACAATGTCTGAAAAGACTTATTAAATTTCAAATGACCATATATTATCGACAGGATTAGAATTATAAACTATTTTAGCAATGTTATTGAAAAAAACAATTCTCGGACACATGCTTCGGCAGCGGGTCCACAATGACATTGTCAAAGAGCAAAGTAACGATGTTTCGAGAAAATCATTAAATATATTGAATAAACTAATGAATAAAATCAACAACAGCATTCATAAAAGATGTCAAACGTACATATAAAATTACTATTTCCATCTTTTTGTGCGATCATGTAATGTAAGTCAAGTCACTGACAAGTGACATCTCGGCTCTCGCTGCCTCAATCTTCACGCTTGGACACGATGTTTACATTAAGAATTTTTGTCACAGGTCATAACCTAGCACGATACGTCCAATAAGTTCCATAATTTACGTATAGGTAGCGATTTCTGCTTAATATGTTCAAAATAGCATTATTTTACCCAAAACTTTCATCTAAATCTAAAAGTTTTCGTTTACCAGGACGGTATCCATTGCCGTAATATGATTGGCTGCCTTAGGTCTGGTGTCTCATTTTGACCAATCACGACCCTTATAGCAGACTGTGGCGAAAAAGCGTCATTAGAAACCAATCTTTATCCAATAAAATCGCTTCTTACAACTGTGAAAATACTCCCGGCAAGGGTACAGTGATATTGTTGATGTTCAGAGCTTTCAAACGATACCCGACATCAAACGATTCGACTCCCATGTTATTCATACGAAGCTTCGAAAACAGAGGTATTTTCCGTTGTTGTGTCATGTTACCGAGCGGAAAGCCACTGATATCGGGAAATAGGAGACCATATATATTATTTAAGAAATCTTTTTATAATAATTTTCTGATTACATACAAATGAAAATTTAAACGAAAAAGGCACGGGGCATGTTATGACATGTCACAAATGGAAAAAAAATCGCCATAGTTTTTGTTTCTTTCATGGTTTATTTGGACATTATAAATGTAAGCTTGCATTTTCATTACAAAAATAAATCTATTTAAGTTGTATTATTTGAATAACATTATAAAAATAAACTTCATATTTATCAACAGTGGGATTAGATTTTTAAATGGTGTATGAGATGTAGTAGCAATAACGTTTTACAAGCTTATAGTTTCCTTCATAAACATAGGCTTCATCTGTGACCTTAGAGTCTCTTGGAACTCGGTGTCATGGCAGTAAATGCCTCTGGTTGACTGGTGTTGAAAGAGTTAAAGTTGGTGAAGATCGAGATCAAAATGGCGATGTCACTTCCAGTGTGAGGTAGTGGCCTTGTTAGCTCATCATTCCAGAGGATCTGATGCTCTAATTCCCATGTGGTTTACAATAATAACAATAACACTATTTCTAGCGATCAAAACTCAATATTAGTGGGACTTCTAAATATGCTACACAGCATATGTACATATAGACAACAGACTGGGAAAACATACAAATACACAGCATATAGAGAAAATATACAGGGCTTGTATGGATTAAATAATATATTAGGTAATAGGAAGCATAGCCTGCAGTGTGATAGTGGGCTGCTGTGACCACACATTTTACAAAAGGCTTAGAACAAGAGATTGTATTCCTATCTCATTCATTAGTTGCATGTGCAGACACTTGAGTCAAGAAATAAACACAGTGTATAAGGTTTTGAGGATGATAAGCAGGTCTATGGTGAGTCACCTGCGTGAGACAGACTGAGCAACAAAGGCCATTAGTATGTATTTTTTGGGCAGAAGTCGGTCACTCTGTGACCATTTCTGATGTCCATGATGTGATATTACTGGACTATTTCTCATGGTGCCGTAAAACCATAATTACTCACTCCAGCAAAAACTTTGGAGTCCAGACAATTGACTTTATGATCAACATTACAATGTTCAAAGATGATCAAAACCTTAACTGTAGTAGGTAAGGGTAGTAATAAACGATAATAACATAAACAATAATAACCACATGAGTATGGTTTTATCAATATTTCAGCAATAACCTGGTGGGGGGACACCTTTACACATTGTACTCAAGTAGGGAATCAAACCCCAGTCTTGGGCATGACAAGCAAATGCTTTAACAACTAGGCTACCCCACATAATCATAATAACAAGTCTATTATGCACCAACTTCCATTCAACAAGTGACTGCTCGTGGCACGAACAAAAGCAACGTGACCCCTACCAACAGATCAGATTGACTTCTTGATGACTCATCTCCCTACCAACAGATCACAATATTGACTTCTTGATCTTCTTGATCAATCATCTCCCTGGGGAGAATACAACACTCTAAAATATCCTCAACAAAGCGACAATAAACATCTTGATCTTCTTGATCTGCATTATCATCTCCCTGGGGATAGAATACAACAAACGGCACAATAAACATCTTGATCTTCTTGATCTGCATTATCATCTCCTGGGAGAATACAACACTCTAAAATATCCTCAACAAACGGCACAATAAACATCTTGATCTTCTTGATCTGCATTATCATCTCCTGGGAGAATACAACACTCTAAAATATCCTCAACAAACGGCACAATAAACATATGATCTTCTTCCTGATCTCTAAAATATCCTCAACAAACGCATTATCATCTGCCATCTCCCTGGGGAGAATACAACTCTAAAATATCCTCAACAAAGCGGAATACAACTTGATCTTCTTGATCTGCATTATCATCTCCCTGGGAGAATACAACCTCTAAAATATCCTCAACAAACGGCACAATAAACATATCTTCTTGATCTTATCTCTCCCTGGGGAAAATACAACACTCTAAAATATCCTCAACAAACGGCACAATAAACATCTTGATCTTCTTGATCTGCATTATCATCTCCCTGGGGAGAATACAACACTCTAAAATATCCTCAACAAACCGCACAATAAACATCTTGATCTTCTTGATCTGCATTATCATCTCCCTGGATAGAATACAACACTCTAAAATATCCTCAACAAACGGCACAATAAACATCTTGATCTTCTTGATCTGCATTATCATCTCCCTGGATAGAATACAACACTCTAAAATATCCTCAACAAACGGCACAATAAACATCTTGATCTTCTCTGATCTGCACTTATTATCTCCTTGATCTTCTTGATCTGGGGAGAATACAACACTCTAAAATATCCTCAACAAACGGCACAATAAACATCTTGATCTTCTTGATCTGCATTATCATCTCCCTGGGGAGAATACAACACTCTAAAATATCCTCAACAAACGGCACAATAAACATCTTGATCTTCTTGATCTGCATTATCATCTCCCTGGGGAGAATACAACACTCTAAAATATCCTCAACAAACGGCACAATAAACATCAGTCTAGTTGTTATTTCAAGCCATGTCAAATACTGTAAAGGTCTTGAATAATTTATATCAGGCTACCTAATGCTATTAAGGATATTGACTGCAAATGAACACCAAGTAGCAAGCAATAACAAATTAACCATCCATGATTTTGTTTGAAGTACACTTTGCCTCTCAATAATTCATTTCACAAAGTTCATTCTATCAGTAGTGGTGAGTTTATGGCATGTTATATATCACGGCTGCAATCATTCTGTTATTTTTGCGATTGTGTAACAACCATAAAATCCTAACCATGTGTTTGATACAGCTGACATGAGATTACACCACAAAGATAAACAACCTTTCTTTGACTTCTTTGATGGGCATTTTAAAAGTTGAGTTGATGAAGAATAATGACAATTGTTATGGATATACAACTTCTTTTATTCTGTGGAGGCAACGTTTTCGACATTTCTAATGTCGTTGACAACGACATTAGAACCTATGTCGAAACGTCGCGCCACAAATAAAAGAAGTTGTATATCCATAATAATTGTCATTATTCTTAACCTTTCTTTGAGGCAACCTGTCCAACACTGAAAACAACACCCTTTGTTTGGCAGTGTTTTCCAATTCATTTCCTTTCCCATACAATCTCTAACCAAGCATGTCAGTTGATGATCTTTCACCTGTCTTGATAAAAACCTACCTAACATCCTATAACTGGGTCACGTTGCCCAAAACAGCTACAGTTTATAGGTCATACTTGCACAACCAGACGAGCCAGAACATTACCGTTGCATGCTTCTGTGGTTCACTTGTACTGAGAGAACGGCCTGAGGCAGTCCTAACTTGGTCCTAGGTAGTTTCAACAAGTTTCATCCAAAGACATTAAAAACACCTTTCAAGTCTTTTAACTCAGAAGTCAGATATAGATTAATTTTACAGTGATCCAAATAGCAAAGAGAGGATGTCCCACGTCCTTCACATCATCACATTACATCTATACCAAGGAATAAAGTGAGTGAGTTAAGTTTTAAGCTGCTTTTAGCAATGTTCCGGTAATATCAGAGTGGGGGACACCAGAAATGGGCTTCACACATTGTGCCCATGTGGATTATCGAACCCGGGTCTTCGTTGTGACCACTGAACACTTTAAC